CTTCTCGGCATTTTAATGAACTTCATATAACGACACAGAATTATTTTCACAGCCAATCAAATCTGTAAATTTTGTCTTAAGAATTTTAAAATATTGAAAACTTCAAATTAAATCCTCGAATAACGGTAAAGTTTGAGGTTTTGTCAAAACCAACAAAGTGAATATATAATGGCAGATCAAAATGAATAAGAAACTTTCGCAATGTGTAATTAAATTCACTTTAACCAAGGCTTTTCTTAAAATAAACAACGTTTTTTTTTTTACGAAAAAACAAAAACGATTTGAAATGCAATATACTTTTCACAATCGCACGGAAGAATTAGTTTTGTATGACACGTCAGTTAGACGACAGGTCCGTCAGAAACGCCAACTATTGAAATTAATTCGAAGTGGCGATTCCCATACACAATTTTTAGAATTTTTTTATTTTTTAACTGTTCTTTTAAGTTATCCTTATTTTTTTTATTTATAAACCATCCCCGTAATATAAAAAAAATTTCAAATCGGTCAAGCCGTTCTTGAGTCTTAGCGAGACTAACAGGAACAGCAATTGATTTTTATTTTATAGACGATTAAAAAATGGGGGTTGGTGGTAGAAAGGTGAAAATGTAGGGTTATGTGTATTTTTTGATGCCAAATCTTAAAAAAATAAAAATTAAAAATTTTGTCCAAAAAATAGACACAATTTTTTTAGGGTGGACCATTCTTATCACTTAGGGGTTTAAAAAATAGTTTACAACCTATTGTCAGACCTACGGAATATACATAAAAAATTTCATACAAATCGGTCAACCCATTTCGGAGAAGTTCGGTTACAAACACTGTGACGTGAGAATTTTATACATAATGCATTATTATTTTAGAACAAATTTCATTACCATAAAAAAGGTTACACTGACTCGACCTTAACAGATAGACATATGCTGTCGCGGACTTTTCTTTAGAACTTTTAGAGAGGAACAATTTCGTCATACATGATTTTTACGTAACTTTAATCGTTTAAGCAGCGTAAGCAACGGAAGCTGTCAAAGGAGGAATAATTTTCCCGTTTTTTCGAATTTTTCATTGCTACTTCGCTCCTAATGATCGTAACGTGATGTTATGTAGCCTATATGTAGATATGATACATGGACTATCCAACACAAAAAGATTTTTTGAATTTGAACCAGTAGTTTCTGAGATTAGCGTGTTCAAATAAACAAAAGCTTCAGCTTTATTATATAAGTATAGATGTCATTTCTGCAACTCTTGAGTTATTTTCTAAAATAAATTGACTGATCCATACATTTTTTTTGTCACTGTAAATGCAAATCTAAAAAATATGAATGCAATGATAAATTTACGAAAATATACTGATAATATTTTGCACATTTTAGATAGGATTTATTCGGCAAAATCTTGAGATGACGTCATCAAGTTTTTGGGCTTGATCAACAGATATATTTTAATTAAAAACGTACCATGTCAAACAGTAACTTCAAAACGTCTGCAATAAATCTAAAAATTTAGTTTTGCAATTCTTGATTCAATCAATAAAATAAACTGACTCAGTGATTAATTTTTTTTGAGACACCCCCTATAAGCAAAACTAAAAAATATGAATGGAATGATAAATCACAAGTATAGTCTCATCCTATTTTGGATATTTTAAAAAGGATTCATTTGGCAAAATTTTGGGCTGACGTCATCAATTTTTTGGAGGAAGTAAGTATTATTTTGAATAAAAATTTATTATGCTTATCAGATGTTTAAAACATCTGCAAGATTTCAAAGCATTCGGTTTGCAGATTCAAAATTAAGTTGTAGGTGAAACGAAGTTCACGGGGTCAGCTAGTATTAAATAAAAAGATCAATCAAAAATCAAGTAGTGGGTTATTTGTGTCTAGAGTATTACACTGACTTGTCTTTCGTTAAGCATATTCAAAAAGGTTACCAATGCAAGACTTTTATTACAAATAAAACTATCAGGTATGGAAACTTCAGAAATATTAAAATTATCAAGGATAATTATATTAAAACTGTAAAGATAACTTAAGATGAAAAAAGGATTAATTATTTTAAGTGATTGTGTTCTAAAAATAACGTAGCTAACAAGTACATCATAAGTAATACAGCAGAAAAAAATATTGACAGTGTGAGGAATAAGATATTAGTGTGATCAGTTGAAAGATACATATTGTTACATTGTACGGGTATTTAAAATCGGCGTGGGTAAAACTCAACAATTTATTTCTCAGTAATACAAATTTATATGACTAACAACACAACATTTAATTCCGACTCAACTTAGACTCTAATTATTCTCTCGTTGAGTGGAACAAAACTGACTGTTCCCGATAGTGGTTCCTATTTAAACCCATACGTTCATTTCTGGATAGTTCGCCGTCACCGCTACGAGCTCGTTCTGGAACCCTCCTCCGAGACTTCCGCAGAAGCTAGTTTTTTGTCTCCTCATCGCAGAAGAGAGAATTGATTAATTAATTAACTACACTAATTTTTTTCCTAAAAACACATAAATTCGACAAAGATTCGTCAAACTTGTAAGAAAACAGACAAACTTTGACTAACAATTTACCATGCTTCCAATTAGCACAAAATATTTGCAAGATTGCACAGCATTCGGATTTTGCAGTTTCAAAATTTAATTATAAAAATCTGAATGCTAAGGGTAAAAACTCAACAGGGATACATAAATCATACATGCAGGTGATCGTTATATTATTTTATTTGATTTAAAGAACATCTATTAGGCAGAATTGTAAGATGACGTCATCATATTTTGGGGAGACCATAAACGAACAAATTTTGATTAACGATTTATCATGTTTTCAAAACCATTAAAACTTTTGCAAGAGATCAGAGCATTCGGTTTTGCAATTTCAAAATTAATTGTTAAAATAAAATTTTGCATTTTTTACCAAAGATCTGGATGTCTAGGGTAAAAACTCAACACGAATTCTTGTATCACACATTCAGGAGTATGTAATTCTATAAAATTTAAACAAAATTGATTCGGCAAAATTGTAAAATGACGTCCAAAATTTTTTGGGCGAGGATAACGAATAAATTTTGATTAACGATTTACCATGATTACGGTAACTTTAAATCGCTTGCAAATTTTGAGAGAATTCGGATTTGCAACTTCAAAATTAACTTGCAAAATGTTGTTATACAATTTTCATTTTTTTTTCCAAAAATCTGGATGTCTAGTGTGAAAACGCTACACTGATTCATACATCACAAATGCAAAAGTATCTTATTATTTTATTTTATAAAAGTTAAAAAATTTATATCCCATTAGTAGTAAGGATAATTATCCAAATGTTGGTTAGCGTTTTAGCATGTATATGATATTCCTAACATATGTAGGTACATACAAAATTTGACAACAATCGGTGCAATAATTTCGGAGATTGTGTCCAATAAAAATTGATACAGACATTAGACACACAGAAGGAAACGGGAGACCACATTTTTCATACTCTAGAGATTTTGAAACATGGAGAAAACATGAAAAGTGGCAAAGTGTCCGATGGATTCGATTTCTATTCTTTTTTAGCTTGGCTACGCTTAGGAAGTAAAAATATGAATGCGTTGACAAACCACAAGTAATAATCACAATTTTGGAGGAGGAGAACGAATAACGATTTACCCACCTCCCCGAACTACGCTACATTTTTACTTCGTGACCTAACTGCGGTACAAAATTTTGTAACTACCTGATAAGTTTATTAACTTATTAATTATAAGCCCTGGCCGACTAGGGTAAAATTCTCAGTTAAAGATTAAGCTATCTAGTTTCAATCAGGCACCTAAGTGATGGACAAAATTATTCATAAATATTCCAAATTCTAAATCACTTTACTGTCATAAATTCACGTTGCTTACCTTTCGATCGTGCTATCTATGTTAATTAGAAAACGAACTCTTGATCACATACATACCTACATACCATACGTATTGATAGATTGTACTGTTGGTAGCTGTTATGGTTATTAATGTATATTACATATGAAATGCATATCTTATAATATAAGCTAAAATTAAGTATAATAGAACACTACCAAATTTGTAGCTGGCACATTTCACAAAATTGTACCTAGAAATTTCATTATTTATATAGTGGACAATTTTAGATTCTATGAATATCTGTCTACGGACTACATCTTTTTCAATGTATCGTTTTCCGTTTTAAATATGTATCTAAAAATTTCGGTTTACACTAAAGGATGTTTCTGTTTTCCGAATTTATTCAATTGCTTTAAGAACGATACCACAACCCCCTGAACTCCTACGGTTTGAGAACGTTGCGTAACTCGATCATGAGTGTCTATGTACCTAACTATCTGATGTTTGACCAAAATTTACACCACGATGCGATTTATCATGCTTACGATTTGTCGGATCCAAGTAAACTGTAACTGTTTTAGATTTTTTTACCAGATTAGCTTGAAACTGTTATTTGCCTCATTTGCAACTGCAGAGTTAAATAGTTACCTTACTTACTTAAACATGTGCAGCTTAACTTTAAAACGAATGCTAATAAATCATTAGTGTCACAATGCAATTTTAACTGTAATGATTCAAGAATTAATTAACTATTAAAATTTTCAATGAAATCTAAAACCAAATTACAGTAGATTTTAAACGTTTTTGTCGCTAACTGAAATGTACCGTCTTGTATAGATAAATAAGTACGCGACACTATTGGGTGCCTGCAAATGGTCCCTAATAGTGACTGAATTTCTATTTAATACTCCTATATTTTAAAAATTTTTAAAAAGTGATAATCGAGGGATACATTTTTTTAAATATAAAAGATGAATGTTTAAACATCTATTGGAAAGAAACAGGTAGGTATAGTCAATAAATTATGCATTTATTATGTAAAGTACAGACTCTAAAAAAAATTGAACATAATTCACAAGAATTTTAAAATGACATAAACGTAAAGCCACATGAGACAATATTTACATATGCAATGACCATCCTAAACGGAATTACCATCCGTGTCCATATCCATAACCATGACCGATGCCATAGCCATATCCTAATCCATAATCATGGCCCAGAGAGTAATCCGTCACTAATGGAGCAGCGTGTAATCCGTAATCAACATGACCCACATCAGGATAAGCATAGGAGAGAGGACTCGCAACCACCGTTTTTGTCACAACAGGAGCAGCGTAGGCAGCTACAATAGGTTTACTGTGATGCACGTCAATCCTGGATGAATAACTTGTGGCCGCAGGAACCGCATAACTACCATAACTACCGATTAGTCCGGGGGCCGGAGCTGAAGATACGATTGCGAGCACTGATGACAACACCACCAACTTGAACATTTTGAGGTCTGTGTCGTCGACTTAGATGACAGAATAGTTAATCTATGAAAAATTCTCGTTTATATAGAAGGAAATGTACGAAATCTATCCCCTCTTAGGTTGCACTATCGCAACACAAAGACCTTTATTGTGAGAAAATAAGTAAAATATGGTCACGCGCCGCTGGTGACCGCCAAATTACGAGTATATGAAACGAAATTTGTAATTATGAGATTATTAATGTTGTAACAGCTGTATTCAAATTCTTTAGACATGAACTTGTGTAAATGTTAAATGAAGAAATGTTTTTAATGTTCGGAGAAAAGTTGCAAGTCGTTAAAGTTAAAATAACAGGTGGCACGTGCTAAAAGTAAATAATGTAGTTGTTATCTACGTTTTTCAAAGATATCGTATCCTATTGAACGAATTTTTGAATTTATCATATTAATTTGTGATTTTGTTTGTACTTTGGTTAGAAATTCTGTGGAGATATTATTTTTAATCTTTAGTAATTTTATCTGTAAAATGAATAGAAATAATCATTTATGCGGGATTACTATACTCAATGAACAAAGAAGCAAAAAACTAAAACATTTCATTTATAATAAATAAGTAAGTACATGTTTTTGAAGTTATATTCACTAGCCAATCACTAATCAGTATAATCATCACTGACAACATCATAGAGAACGTTTACGATAGATGGCTTGTCACCAAGTTATGTAAAAAAAACTATAAAAGGTTAAACAAAACTTATTTTTTGGATAATAGTGGTATTTTTACATTAAACTAAATTGACAGAATGAACCCTGATTTCATCTGATTTAGAAATCAAGCTAAGATTTTCCTTTAAATAATGGCATAGATTAACGACAAAATTGTAATGGTTGAATTTGGACGGTGGTGTTTGGAATTTAGTAGTAAAAGTTAGTCTTTAACACTTGTGTTTTTGAATAACTTATTAACACGGAAGTTGTTCTATATATACCAAGAAAGCAATAAAAAACAGAATCGACAACAGTCATGGATTTTTGAAAATACGTTTTTGATAGAATCTTCGTCTTGTTAGATTACCTTCAAAAATTCATGGCTGTGTTTAAAACAAAATGCGAAGAATAAACTGAAAAACTAGCAAGACTCTGACGATATTACTACCTACACTTACGTTTATTTGATTTATAGATCTACAAGTTTTGATTACATTGTTTCTCAGAAGTTATTAAAACAAAACATGAAAACAGCAGGAAATAAATAAATTTTGTAGACAACAGAGAATCATAGAAATCTTAAGTTTAACAAATGCAATTTTTTTGTGATCGTCTGATGAGATGTGAAGGTGATCATGATCGCATTTAATATTAATATAATTAAACAATTTTGTAAGTTTTATAATATTATTATGATTACTGTATTACAACAGAGCTAATTTCGTAACATTATCAAGGTAATTTAATAAATAATAACGGAAACAATTAAAAAGTTGCGTACAACCAACAAAATATGTTAATAGTTTATCGTTAATATTTGTAGTAAGTAATTTACTTTAATCTGTGTCTAAGTTAAATAGGGCTATACTGTATCCCACAGACTGATAATTGGCAACTTAAAAATACTTATAACATGCATAATAAAATACAGCGAAATATTTTTCACAGAGCGCTATGTTTAAATTTTGTTTGGGTTTGTTTTTGGTTCTTAAGTGTATTTGAATTTGGTGAAATATGAAAATATTAAAAAAAATACATTTACATTTACAAAGTGTGCAAAATATTACAAGTTTATACTAATTACTTGTGGTTTAACAATGCATTTATATTTTTACTTCCCGAGAATAAGTTAAGGAAGTATTGAAAGAAGCTCCATCCGGTGAAAGGCCATTTTCAAGTTTTATCGACATTTCATGACCCCAAGAGTACGAAAAAAGATGTCTCCCGTTTCTGTCTGGCTGTCGTCTGTCATCTCTCTGTCTGCCTGTGTCGATTTTTATTACACAAATAATCTCCAAAACTATCCGAGCGATTGTTGTCCGATTTTATATACATTTTAGAAATATCGGTTAGATGGTAAAACGCTCGCCAAAATTTGGCTAATCATCCCCATCAGTGATGGGATGACGTCATTTACAAAATTTACAATAGTAATTCTTATTTAAATTTATAAAATAAGATACTCCTGCGCTTGTGGTTTATAAATCCGTGTTGCGTTTTTACACTAGACATCTATATTAAAAAAAAAAAAAATCGAAATCGTTTTAAGATTATCGTAAGCATAGTAAATCGTGAACCAAATTTATCCGTTTATCGCCTCCTCAAATATTTCCGTATAAATTCTACCTAAATTAGGCAAAATATTATGAATTTATACTTGTAATTTATCCATGCATTAATGCATTATTTTTTTAGAATTACTTATACACGGTGACTCAAAAAATTAATAAATTTTGGGAATACACTGGTGTTGTTATAGTATTACACTGCATTTATTCAAATTGTAACACGTGTCTTTGCTGAAATGCTGATGACATCACAAAATGTTGTAATTGAAAAACTCGCTTGAAACATATGCATAGCATGCTTTACTTTTACTTTAACATTGCATGCATATTTTTATTTTAACTTTAGGGATTATCATAAAAAAATCCCAATTTCTTATTTCACTCTAATATTTTAATTATTTCAATAACAAAATTTTAAAGCCTAGTACCGTAAATCGATGTAAAGGAAAGGTGGTGGTGGCAACAAGTAAGAGAAATATTCCCGAAATCCTTTAAAATAAGTTTGTCAAATTGGAAAAGAAATCATACGTAATTGGAAAATTAGAGGAAATAACTAACAGAAATAGAGACCTATTTTGAGTTTTATTATTTTATTTAATAATCTTTATAAATTACAACGTTTCAGTCCTCCGTTTACCACGCGTGGACTACGGGAGCGTGAGCGGCATAAGCTACAGGTGCGTGAGCGGCGTAAGCTACAGGTGCGTGGGCGGCGTAAGCTACAGGAGCGGCGGCGACAACCGTGGGATGGAGATCAACTCGAGACTGATGGGTAACGGCAGCAGACAAAGCTACGGGAGCGGCAACCACAGCAGGGGCGGCAGCAACGACAGCTTTTTGAACAATGGGAGCAGCGTAAGTTGCTACAACAGGCTTGCTAATGACATCAGCTCTGTATTGATGACTAACTGCAGCCGGAACCGCGACAGCGGGAGCAGCGGCAATGGCAGAGTAGCCCAAAAGGCCACCAGGTCTAGCAGCCACGATGGCAACGAGAGCGAACAGCACCACCAATTTGAACATGTTTTAATGTTTTAGGTCTGTGTTGTCGAGTCTTGAAACTGACTGATACGAGTGATACTGGGTGGAGTGTCTGATCGACTTTTTATAGGGTTGACATTGAAATGACGCATAATACACTCAAGGAAGTTTATTCTTGCGATCGCCAGTGGGGTATGGGTTTAACGGATTTTCTTATTGCGTTCATTATTAACTCCGAAAACCTTGGTTGTATTTCACGTAGTAAGCGGATACACCTACCGAATTTGTCCTCAAAAGAGAATTTATATCTTATGGGCAAATTAATGGTTATGGTTAATTAAGAGAAAATGTTGCAATTCAAGGGAATAATAAGTAATGTTTTTAATTTTAGATGATAACATATCACCATGGGACATCTCATAGAATTATATTATTAATAGACTTTTTGATACTAAAAGAAAGCATAATCGCATATACATAATTATATCTTTAACTAATATAATGGTAATTTCAGGGTAATCATGTACAGCGATCTAATTACAGTAAATGTAATGGTCATTCATTAGAAAAACAAAAATCAAGTCCGTTCATTTTTGATCTTGTTTTAGTGGTGTTAATTCAATGAAACTAATTTTAAAAAACATTTAAAAGAGCACTAAATTATTAAGAAACGATATTTGTTGTTACAGTAGCATAAAACAATATGCGTGACATTGATGTATTCATCAATATTTTGAAAGTTTTTTTCTCCTAGAGGAGTAACCGACATATAAACATATATATATTACTAACATAATTTTTTTACTGATATTTATTGCCAAAAATGTGTACAGCAAACTTGTACTTTAATTTAATGGACACTGAATACTGTCCTTAAACATAACCTGAGTATCCATTGCAAATTAATGTTAATGCTTTTATAATAACTATGAATATTCTCCTTAGGTCCTCCTGTAAATTATTTTCCCCGAAGGATTTTACTTTTTTTTATGAAACATCCGTTTTGAGAAACAACAATCCGTTTCATTAATGCTTTACGCGTAGTAGCATGATAGTATAGTAAATTCTTTACTAATGATATTCAGACTTGAAACCTGTACATCTAAGTTTTTTTATTGATATTTCCTCCTTGTTGAATATAATCTACATAATTTGCAATCACTTTAAAAATGCAATGAAGGTGTTTACATATTTTAGACGTCAATCTTATTTACCTGTTTGCTTTACTTTCTTTTTTTCAGTTACAGTTTTTCAAGATATATTAAAAAAAAAAGGCTCAAACGTTACGGGACCCTGGATTGTTAATATGTATGTTTTAATTAATCTGTAAATTGGAAAATAATTAACTTGTAATTAGGAAATTGATGAACTACTTAAATACGAATATTGCAATAGTCGTTTTTCAAGATCATTAAACTAATGATGCGTCATTGTAAAACACAAATTTCAACACTTAATTTATATTTAGGTATCGAACGTCTTGATATTGGAACGACACACTACACTTGTAAGTGAAATCGTTGCATTACATAAATCATGGGTCTCAACAAACAATGAGAAATCAGTTATAATTGTGCAAGATGTTTAGAACGAACTGTTTATTTTAGTCTAGATTATTTATTTATTTTCTACCAACATAATAATGATTAAAAATTTTCGAGCAATAAGAATAAGCCACTCAATAACATCAATTTAAATACACTGTAGAAATATAAGTGTGCAGTCTTTGTTAATATTTTTATAACGGGTGTGTCCAAAAATGTGTATGCATATTACGACACACGTAAAATAAAAATAACATATATTAATATATAAAAACATAACGCCTGTAAGCGTGGTGGTCGGTCATATATTATGGCATTATAGCACAAAGAACAGAATTTGGTTCACATATATTTCAATGTTCACAAATATTTAATTAAAAAACCATGCACAATATAGTATTTGAAAAATAAGTAAAAATGCTCTTTTCAAAAATAAAAAGACATCATAGTCTCCTCGCAACAGTAACTTTGTTTATATCAACATTTTACGAATATAATTTATTTTATTATAAAAAAATATATATGTTAAGTTGTGAAATATCACAAAAGAAATATCATTTTCTTTAAGTTCCATTAAACCACCGTGATGGTTTTAATATTTACGGTTTGAAATATCTAAAATTTATGGAAATTTTCCGTTATGCAATCATTTTTAAAAGCATGTTGAACTAATTCATGTTAAAGCATGTTAATATACACAATCCGCCAAAAACAAAATAGTAATTTGCACAGTTAATTTGGGATATATAAGATTTTATTATAATTTCTTCAATTTTTGCATCCCAGTGACAGTTTCAAGGATGACATCTAACAAAATTTTCAATTCTAAAATTTATATTTACATCAAAAGCGACTACTACTTACAACAACATATTTCTGTTAAGAATAAATATTATAGTCTAAATAATCAAATGTGATTAAGATGAAATACCTTTTATTTAGCTCTTATATACCAAACTCTTTCATTGCAACAATTTACGTCTCATATTATTTTAGATATAATAGGGTCAAATGGTACGCTTAAATTAAGAATTTTTTAAACAAAATAAAATGATTGTCACAAAGATCATTGCAAAACTAAAAAATTCAGAAAATATTTTAATTCAGAAAAAACGACAGCCCAATTGGGTATGTACAAGTTACAAAAATGTAGTGTTTTAAAATATAAATCATATTGATTCTATGTTATGGTACATGACACAAACAAATAAAATGTTCAAAGCCAAACTAAAAAGATCTCACATTTTTCTACCCACCTGTACCTATTAAAGTGTAAATTTATTTATGTTTTGATTTTTTTTAATTAATAAAAATGACTAAAGATTTTTTCTAATTCGTAACAAAATTAGCACCTACAAAATACTAAAATGTAAGAAGAGTATTTAAAAAATAATCATAATAATGGACAATTTGAAACGACCTCAAATAAATTCGCACAGAATATATTGTGCCCATACATTGCATTTTCTCAATTAAATCTCCAGTCACAAACCAACAATAAGTAGTGACAGTAGCCAATAATAATAATGAGCATGTTTCGCAATACAACCACCAGGAAACTATACCGGTATGTGTTCACCGAAACGCATGAACTTGCATATTTGTAGTTCGTACCTGCTCCTCACCAACACGGTAAAAGTCAGAATAAGTCACCCAAGGTCTGGGTCTCCCAAGGATTCGAACCAAATTCTCTCCACCAAATTCTTCAGTAATCCAATTAACTTCTCACACCATTGTGTCGCTATAAAAAGAGTCGGAAAATCAGATCGGTATTAGTTCCAATCAGTCAGTCCTAACGACTCGTCAACACAGACCTAAAACAATCAAAATGTTCAAATTGGTGGTGTTGTCCGCTCTTGTTGCCATCGTAGCTGCCAAGCCAGGTGGCCTTTTGGGCTACTCTGCTATCGCTGCCCCCGCCGTGGTTGCCGCCCCAGCTGTAGCCATCCCCGCCGCCGTTAGCCATCAATACAGAACCGATGTCATCAGCAAGCCTGTGGTAGCTACCTATGCTGCTGCCCCCATTGTACAAAAAACTGTTGTTGCTGCCGCCCCAGCTGTCTATGCCGCCGCCCCAGTAGCTTACGCTGGTCACTATGGTCACTACGCTCATGCTGCCCCACTTGCCCACGCTGCGCTGGCTGCCCCAATTGCTCACGCTTGGTAAAGAGAGGACTGATGGAATATAATCACAAAATTTATTTTAATACATCTAAATAAATTATTTTTTAAATTCATTGTTTTCTTTTATTTCTTACTGAAAACTAGGTTCAAAGCAGAAACATTGGAAATATAAAATGTAAAGACAAACATAAACTTTATAAAAAAAATATACCTAATAGATAAACCAAAAAAAAAAAACACACTAATGAATCTTTACTATGACTATGCTAGGAAAAAATATAAATACTTACCATTTCTGCTACTCATGTGTTACAGTTATAAATTTGTTTAGGATAGCGACAAAATGCATATGAAACTGGTAAAACTGATCAAATATGAATAATAACAATCAATTGAAAACAAAGTAAATATCAGCAAATAACATCGTTATTTAGGTATAAAATTAAGGTTTAAATACATGTTGTTTCTAACATAGACCACGTAAAGAAATTAAAAAAATAAATAAAAAAATCTTAAGGCTACAGCACAAATTTATCAAAATGTGTTATAAAAGTTTCTTTGTAAAACAAAGTCGACTAATACTACACCTACTTTATTTTAAAAAGACAAGTGAATGTAATTGAAACTGCAATACAAAAAAAAAAAAATCGGGAAAGGATATCTTAATTAAGAGACAGATGTTGTCATTGCGGCAGAAGTTCTCATTTTTCTTTCGGTAACCTTTTCACTTCCAAAAAAATAAAGAATATGTAAGGAATGTGTTAACTGTTTTTAACAACTATTTAGTCCATGCTTTTTTAGCGTTTCGAAAATGCAAATCAAAAATGCTAGTGTACTTTTTTGTTTGTCTATCCGCTATTGAGAATTTTATTTGAAAAATAATCTTCGAATATATAAAATATTTTACATACGTATTTATAATATGTATAATATGTATTGCAACTTACTTCATTGGCGCCATTTGCAACAATTTTGTCATACGATTCATCCTACAAAAATTAACTTTGAGCAACGATAACAGTTTCATTAGCCATCAAATTTTATAATTTATCCCTGAAATTATTCGATGGACTTTTTAAATGTTTTTATATGACAATATATAGTATATTGTTTTATTAGTATTAACAGTGGTGTTTTTTGGCGGGCAAAATTTTGAATTTGCGAGGTGTAGCGTAGCGGAGCCGAGCGAATGCAAAATTTTTCGGGTTTCCAATGCTAGTTCTTGTCTTGTGGTACAATTACCTTATCTAAAGTAAATGAAGACACGTTTTCATAAAAGTTTGACGTGGAAAATAATAAACAATGGCTGTGTAAACTCCACAGCCAAATACTGCATTGAAAGGTTGCGGAATTTTATTATTTTTATATATTAAAAAAAAAAACGAAAAAAATTTTGTATTCCCTTTGAAGATAAACGAAAATTTACCCCCTCATGAAATTTACCCAACTCGCTCGCTACGCTCGCTCATTAGGTAAACTTTTCATTCGTGAGTAAATGTTTTTTACCTTCTTGTAGAATAAATAACTGTTATATAATTTTCATTTATGCTAAGATAAGGGACAATTGCATCACACGTGTACGGTATTCACAAATTTACTGCTCTGAGACACAAAACCATTACGGCCTTTGGCGAGGTAATTCTGTAAGTTAAAGAGGAAGTTCGGCCTAATTAGAAAGCGGGCATTCACAAATTAAAAAAAAATTACTCTGTGTATGGACAAATTTATAAAGTATTGTCGCGTTACCTACTTATACTAAGTGGTAGTACTCTTGAATTTACAATCATTTCTAATAATTAACCAACACTTTTACAGTGGTACTCTGTATCTCAAATTTAAAAAACTTATTTTATTTAATATTACATGTTAAAAAAATGTAAAATTTATAACGGTACTTTATAAATAAATAATGATTCGACCTTGACAAAAAAATGGGCGACACGAACTTGAACTTTTCGGATTAATAGATGCTGAACAATACTACGTCTTGACATATAAATATTTATAATTAAATGATATTACATAACAGCCTACCTTATTTCTCTCGCCGACGAATTCGTAATCATGATGATATGTGCAATGGCAATATATGTATATGTATAAGAAAACGCGTGGATACGTCATGGAACCGGTACCGTACAAATAAATTTGTGTCTTTAAACTTTTATAAACTATTAATAATGTATGATAGTTCATTGTTGTTTACCATTTGTCGCATATTATTTATTTTAACCGTGACAGAATTTTATTCCGTTTTACTGATTAACAATTCTTGTGAAAATTATAACAATCTAACAAATAATACAATAAAAGCTTTAAATTATAATTTTAAGTTGTATGCATACCAGTTGATCATAAAAAGTCTACCTACAAATATTCTACAACTAACTGGTCCTAACTAGAAATCAAGGTAACTTTTTACGAACGAAACTACACTAACTTATTTTCTTTATTATATTAGATTACATAATACATGGACATATCCACTGAAAAACAAAATTTCTATAAAAATCAGTTCAGACACTCCAGAACCGTAGGATCGTCAGCGGAACACTTTATTTGGAAAAAACTCGACATGTTCAGTTTAAAGTCAACAAAACTAGATTTTTTCAGAGAATTAATATAATGTAAATTTCAGGGAATAAGTCTTTAACAAACACGCTACTATCAACAATATGATGTATTTTTAATTAGTTAATTTATATATAATACACTAAATTATTGACAAAAGCAAAGACATTTTCTTATCAAAATTTTATCTAAGGTGATTTAGACAGAACTTCCCGGCTCGCTAATTATACATGTTATAAAATTTGATCCTATAGATGTTATTTTTCTATGATAAAATTAAAATAGATATGGAGTATTAAACTGCAGATAAAGAAGCATGCTATGTATATCTTTCAAGAGAATTTTTCTGAATCGATTTTAAATGATGACGTCATCATTGCTTAGTGGGGTTTACTAGAAAATCAATGAAATAATTTATTTCATTTATTATTTTTTGAGGCATCTTGCAGTTTTCTGCACTGTGAGTCTCATTGATAAATATTTTTTTTAAGTTCAGACTGTTACGTGATAAACATTTAAACTTAAATCAAAATACGTTAAGTATAAATATTTTGTTTATTTTACAACGTTTCAAATAAAAATATCAGTCACCACTTAATTATTTAATAGTTATTATTAAATATTCGTTGCAGGAAACAAACCAAATCATCTCACTCTAACATTGTTTTGGTATGTAATTCTCAAATTCTCTCCACTACATGAAGTCAACTACATATCTTACAATGAATTAGTTTCTTTATTTTTTTTTTTTTCTGAATGAAACAGAATGAAAAGGTAAGTAACAAAAATATCGTCAAGTACATATCACATACTGGTAGACTGCCTGGAAAATTTTGCTACAGTGACGACATAAATTGTTTCTCTTATTTATGCAATAACCTAATAAAAAATACTCTACATTTGGATACCTGGACATTTTGGTTCAGTTTAAATCTCCGTTTTGCGCAAGAGATAGATATCATAAACGTAATGCGAGTAAATTTCTACCAAAAAGATAAACACCGCTGTAGAAAATAAAAATTTCACTTACATTTGCATAAAAGTACATCATGCAATTGAATATTACAATGAAAATGTTATGTAATGTGACAGAAATGGGTGAAAGCACAGACACATAACATGTCTGCTTATAGAATGATATACATTCCGTACATACAAAGAAGTTGGGTTGTGATATTCGAGAACAATTGCGTATGAGGTTAAAATTTTCTGCTTCATGAAATTCTAAAGTATTCAGCAACTAACCTTGCTCAATTTCGTCACAACATTCTTATGTGTAACCACGAAAAAATCGCCTCGAATTCAACTTACAAGTGTAAAAGAATTAAATTTATAACCTTGGAATTATATTGTTGAGGAGCATAAAGAGCTATATATTTTTAATAATCCAAATAAACTCTTATCTTTTCCTTTCCAAAGTTGACCCTCGAATCGCGTAACAGCTACAGAACGAATTACCTTATTTTTATGATATAAAAAATTAGTGTAAATTTACACACACAGAATTTATTCGGCAAAACTGTGAGACGACGTCATCAATTTTCTGGGGGGATAAACGCATACATTTTGATTAACGATTTACTATGCTTGCGATAACCTTAAAATATCTGCAAGATTTCAGAGCAATCGGTCTTGCATTTTCAAACTTAAACTGTAAAAACCTTAAATATAATTGAATTTTGAAAATATTTCTCAAAATCTAAGTATTTGACAACATTTTAACTATATTAAAAGTGTCAATAAAGGTTTCTATTACTAATAAGAGATGATCGCACCCATCATCACAGTATGGATTACAGAAGTTAATCTTAGGAGCAAAGTCAACAACCTTTCACTATCATACAGACTTCGTCGTAACCTTCACCTTCAACTAGACGCGATGGGATTTCCTTTGATGAGTAGTAAGTGACACTTTACTTAATAACCATTACTGCGTGAAATTACGTTTGCTGAACAAAAAATCATTTCGTTTAATTCTCAGATACACACCAGCACTCAAGCGTCACAAACGTGTCAAAAAAATATGTATCTATTTCGGTAATAATGTATTCATATTTAAATTTCAAATCAAAATTATGCGTGTTATGACCAAATCGTGAAAAAATTCACACAAAATCGTCTGTAAGGACTAGCATTTATTTTCGAAAGTCACACCGTAAAAATAAGTCGGACGTATATTCAAATTAGCATTATTTATGGTAATTTATAAACTATAAAAACTTTTAAATATTTGTAGTAATTTCAAAATTATACTGAAGCTCACAGGGGTTGTCGCAATGGATCCCTTTAACATGAAAAGACACTAATATAAGCTCTGAATCTACAGAAGAAGGGCCGAACAGATGCGATGATAAAAGCGCTTGATCAACACATGAACAATTACCCTAAAGTTCCTATTGGTTGAAAAACGCATATCTTGAAGTCGGTTTGATTTTTTAAGTCCTATGTATAACTCATTCTTATTCTAGATTATTGTGATTAGACGCAAGTAGGTATGTGTATTTGTGGTGTTGGCTATATCGGGGTGTTTTGTCAGTTTAATTGTAGATTTTGTCGCTTTATTGTAAGAAGCTATAACAAGCTAGAAATAAGTCATGTTGTATTTTTTAGTTCATACAGGATTGCTATTTTCTATCCTACTTAAATATGTTGATTCTAATGTAAATAAAAAAGACAGATTGACTCAGTCGTGCTTTATAGCACAGACTATTCATGAGAACGTTACACACTTAGCACTGCATCTATTCGGTGATGCTAATATGTACCCTAAGATTCAGTGGTATTTGTATTTTGATAAAACACTTTTATTTTTACTTTCCGACGGTAAGCTAGGGAAGTATTGTATGCAACAGCTTCATGTCTAATTTCATGTTTTCTTAGCGTTTCATAGCTTGTGTAATACGAAAGTATCGGTCTTATCTAGTAATCTTTATGTCTACTAAAATTTTGTAGACATCATTTTAAAATTTTACAAAGTAAGTAGGTCCCATTAAAAGAGTGAAAAATAATATGTTTATATGTCTGTGATTTATTAATCCACCTTTATTTTTAACCTTGTATGTAGGTTTTTGAAAAAAAAATTGAAATTTTTACAATTTAATTTAAAAACTAAGAAACAGATGACTAAAATTTTGCACACGCTTTAAGTTTTATTGTGAACATATGGATCCCTAAAATTTGAAAACGTTATCACAAAATTTTGTTAAATACTTATTTAAATTGCACATACAATCTACAGTCTGATATGCCCCTTTATTTATAGTTCAATAACGCATCCACATTATTGAATTCACGGTAGATACGAGACTTTAAAATTTTCCATTTTAAAGAAATTAGCATGTTAACTTAGCAAAAATGAATCTGATTTATAGTATTGTATATTATTTTTTAAATAAAAAAGCCAACACCAGAAAAACATGAAATAGGATTTTTTCTATCATTAATTCAACAATTAGTGCAAAACAAGGCATTTTCGGCTCTCAGTTCCATGTTTATGTTGGTCATAACAATAATTTACAAATACGAGTATGTACTAAATCTTATTGTTTCTGAAATACGCATTAATTTTTTAGAACTGATTACAAATTAAAAGACATTTTAAGAAATTGATGTGAGAAGCAATTATACTGAATATTTTAAAGATAAGTCATCCGATATCCTTGAAATGCTGGGGCTATAGAATCGTTATGAGTAGTGTAATATTGCACACATCAATATTATTTTATATACCGTCATAAAATAAACATTACGAGTTATTGTCTAAAAGTAAAAAAGAAAAATTCTGTCAACTTTGTTGTTCTATAGTTATTATGACTTAGTACTTCGTAATTTATACCTACATCGAATCTTAAATTCACCTTCAACCTAAATTGTACAGATTTTTTTACTATGCGCCCTCTTTTACAAAATGCAGATATTTCTTAAACCTTTTCTGATGATTTAAGTCTTAGATTCTTTGGGAATCCTCAGATTAGTTTTAAAAGTTAAAAAATTTATTACACACATTTGTGAATTTTCACATACTTTATAGTTCATTCACATTTTGCTACAAAGTAATTTATTTGTTACAACAAATTACTACCATGGGTTTAAACTTACTAGTTTAAACACAAACAACTGGTAATTTGTTACTCATTTGATTATTTTTGTCATGAGCTTTTACATTTCCTCGTCTAAATTCTTATTTTCATTGAATCACCGTCCTTGGAAGGACGGTCATATGGAAACTAACAGCTTTATTTGTAAGTAGTACGTATTATACAAACTTGCCCAGAGCAATCACTGACCTTAACTTTGCTTTTCAAATTTTAATATCAACCGAATGATTTATAAAGGGTGTGTTCATTTCAAATTGTTAAGTGTTTCTAAAATTGATACTCTCTGAGACATGTAAGATCTATTACCCTAGCCACCACACATTTAGATTCCTATACATCAAAAATGGCATGTGTCTTTTTTTTGTGGTTCTTCCACGTATGTTATTTTAAATAGTGTCAAACTCAAAAGATTCATAACTTCGTGGAATTCCGTTACGGAACACATAAATAGAAAAGTTCATTAAAACGTTAAAAAGGTAGTATTACTAAATATGGGTCAATAAGTCCATGTGTTTTCGTTATTTTGATCGACACTTATGAATATGATGTTACAACTCAAAAATAATATTGATGATGATTTCTCAATTGCTCAAATTATAGGTATGTACTACATATTTCAGGCAACTCCTTATTAACCCTAGGGTTGCAAGTTTTGCTAATAACACTAGGGGCATACGACTTATCATACTCACTAAGCTAAATACCAAAGTAATCAAGATATGCCCTCGTCACAAACGTAAAAATAACTTTCCAGTTTCTGTCAAGGTGTACTTGCCATGAATGCAACAAAGGAAAAAAAATTGTACTAACATACTTATTCTACATTTTATTTCACTAAATATTTAAGAATGGTTTTCTGCATGCGTTTTTATAAAATTTTCTGAATATGAAGAAACAATATCTCCAACATTATAGTATTTGAGTCCAAACTTTCAGGAGATTCTATGGTATATTATAATAAACTATACACAGACATGAGTGTAGCCACAATCAATGTGATAAAAATTTAAATTAACACTTACTATTGTGACATTTTTACGTCAAGTGAAGAAGGAATATCAGGTTGAAACTAAAACGCAAAAATGTCTGTTCATCTCCACTAAAAATGATATGACATCATCTCAAAATTTTGCCAAATAAATATGAATAATATCTAAAATTACGAAAAAGATTATGACTCTACACTTGTGATTAATCAATGCATTCAGAGTTTTTAGAAGAACTACTTATACACGTTTACTTATTGATCAAATAAAGAACTCACTCCATTTTTCTGAAAATTTGAGTATTCAGTACTTTTGTTATTACTTATTATTATCACACTGCATCTATTCAAATTGATATGCATGGCCTTGCTAAAATGTTTACAAGATTTCAGAGCATTCAGTTTTGCAGTTTCAAAGTTAAATTGCAAAATATTGTTATAAAATTCAACACGGATTCACACACCACAAGTGACCCGATTGGCATTGAGAAGGATTAGCCAATTTTCGGTTAGCGTTTAGCCATCTACATGATATTCCTAATAGACATACAAAATTTGACAACAATCAGTCCAGTAGTTTTGGAGATTACGTGTCTAATAAAAGTGGATTCACACGCCAGACAGATAAACAGACAGACCGAAACGGGAGACCACTTTTTTCATACACTAGAGGTCATAACACGTCGAGAAAACATTAAGTGGCAATTCGTCCGAAGGACTTGATTACTATACTTCATACTATACTCAAGAAGTAAAAATTCGAAAATTTACAGTGTATACCATTTTTTTTAAGAGACGTTAAGTATTTGCTGACTAAAATATCTAGAACTGTCGACTGATTTAACTTAATAAGTAGATTAAAAACTAATCAAGTGTAAAAAATGCTAAGTAGATGAATATATTTAAAAGCTATAAAGTATAGATCTACATCATATTAATTAATTATGGTAATTATTTGTTATATTTAATATCAATGAGAAAAATTTGTTGAAAAATTGTTTTATTATCGAATTATTTTACCGAAAGAATTTTCTCCTATCATTTTGGACGCCACGTTGACTGCAGATATTAAGTGAATATTAACTTTAAGTATACTCGTACAATCGTCTGGATTTATTCGACAGAAGTGATGCTCTTGAGAGCTATTTTTCTTATTTCTGTGCACTGGACAAGAGTATCGGTAGCGTCAATTTCTTGAACTTGTTCTCGAAAATTGCAAAAAATTATGTGCTGTCGAATTTTTATCTTTTGCAGGATAAACAAACTAGTAGCAACATACTAGAAAAGCTCGAAGTGTTGTTAATTTCATAAGAATAAATAAGTTTTTTTCTTATTTATATGCAACTCGAACAAGTACATAATCAGGCGTTTCTGTACTCTTTTTACCTTTGATTATGTACTTGATACATAAATAGCTATTTTGTTTAAGTAAACGCATTTTCGGTTGATAGTCAAATTTTGTTGCATGTGCTAATTTTAATTAATTAACTATCCAAAAGGTATAATGTAATAAATATTTTAGCATTAATATCAATATTAAATAAAGGAGTAGGTAGTGGCAGCAATGAAAACAATGGACAGTTTTAAAAGGAGATAAATAAACGGATATTTCTTAATGTTACCGTTTTAGAGCAAGGTCAGTCTTCGTGACGAATTTCAATAACCAAGGAAATCTCTATGAACTACTGAAATTAGAGTACGCAATTGCAATCACATAAATAATTAAATACTTGTTACATACTCTTCCACCATAGCAATTTACCTATGTTGACATACAGTTACGTATAAACCACATGATATTCGTTCCACGATTTCATTAAATTGCGTAAACTCTAAGCAATACAGGACCCCCTCTTCCTGTCAACCCCCGAAGGTCAAAATTTTTTTACGTGCGTTTAGGTATCACATCCGTAATATCGTAAACCACACAAGGCTCACTTTGGGTGTAGCACATTCACCTTGTCGTATATAAAAGCTTTGATATTCGTCGTCTTCTTCAGTTCAGTTTGTCCACAGTACAACACAGACCTATACAAAAATGTTCAAATTGGTGGTGTTGTCTGCTCTTTTGGCTGTTGCCGCCGCTCGCCCCGGTCTGCTGGCCCCAACCGTCTACAGCAGTGCCATTGTTGGCAGCGTACCAACATCCATCAGCCATCATAGCAGCTCTGTGGTCCATAGCGCTGCCATTGCTGCCCCCGTCGTACATGCCGCTCCCGTCGTACACGCCGCCCCCGTCGTCGCCGCACACGCTGCTCCCATCGTCACTGCTCACGCCGCTCCTATTGTAGCAGCTTCTCCACTAATCTCCAGCTACGCTGCACATGCTCCTCTTTTATTTTAAAAAAGTGAACATGTACCTTACCACAATTAGTCATCAACAAGCCTAAGAAGCTAGTGTCAAACTGTTCCCAGTTTCATTGCCATATGTTATGAATTTACCTTCTTAATTAAAGAACCCCTTTTCCTTTTTATTTTTGTTTTCTTTTTAATACACGTACATTCGATTCACACAAAATATCAAGATACAAAAGCATCCGTTATAATCAGGTATATTTGTATACTTACGTTAAACCTACACTGTATATATGTAAAATAAACAACCTCAATACGAAACTTTGTGTCACAATCTGAATTATAAAAAAATGTCAAAAGTAAAATTTGTGTTATATGCGATTTTTTTATGAAGCAAATCACATGGCTGCTAGGAAGTATATAGGCCGAGGTTAAACTATTGGCAGCATAATTGTTACACTTAAGGTCTATACAAGAACATGTCAACTGATGAAGGTTATGTCCACCTTGAAAAGGAACTATTCAAAAAGTTCATAGAAGATGGCAAAATTTGATAAAAAAATTAAATATTTATATGGTACTGTTCATTTTTTAATCAGTTCTTTTATAAAACTTCAGTGATAAATGAATTTATGCATTTTTTAATTAAAAAATTCTTAAATCCTCACTAGATAGGAAATGATTTTTTTCTAATATTGAAAATTACTAATAAGTTACTAATTACTAGAAGCAGTTTTTGTTTCCTTGCTACAAATAGAGTTTTATGATATTTGTTTCCACTATTGTTTGTACCTTTCAATCGGTCTTTTTGACAAACCTTTGATTGCATGATTTTTTAGTTCGGCGTCAATATATCAGTTTTTTAAGTATGTGGAATATAATTTAGATTTACGAAGAGACATTTTCAAAGTGCCAACACAACTAATACATTTTTATCATAATTTATATGTTTAAGTGGACCCACCTGACGTTAAAAGTTATTATAGTATATATTTTAGTCACAGTTCAGATTAATTTTAGATATATTTTTTGCAATACAATTTCTCGAAAATAGCTATAAAAGGCAATACTGTCTGCCATCTGCCGGCTGTGTCGATTTTTATTAGAAAAGTCGTCTTCAAAACTGCCAGATCGATTGTTATCAAATTTTAAATTAAGTTAGTTAGGAAAATCTTGTGGATGGTAACACGCTTACCAAAATTGTTCAATTATCCCCATCAACAAGGAGATGACGTCATCTACAAAATTTACAATAGTAGATAATATTTAAATTTTATAAAATAAGATGCTCCTGAACTTGTAGTTTATAAATCCGTATTGAGTTTTATACTCTAGACATCCATTTTTAGAAAAAAATGGATTTTTGTATTTTTGGAAAAAGAATCAAAACTGTATAACATTTTACAATTTAACTTTGAAATTGCAAAACTGAATCCTGTGAAATCTTCCAAACATTTTATTGGAAGCGTGGTAAATCGCTAATCAAAATTTGGAATGCTATCTCCTCTGGATTGAGGAGATAGAATCACTCAGATTTCATTTTATTTTTACCCCTGATATTAATAGTCGAATTCTTATACGGTAAAAATATTCTGATCAATATAATATTTTTTTGACAAGTTACCTTTACCGGTATATTATACAATTGTTCATTTGAAAATGTAAATATCATGTAACAAATTTTAAGTTACAGCAATTATCTATATTCATGTTTTATCATGGATTATGTAAATTATGTTATATTATTTATATTATTCATTTTGTTCAGTAAGTAAAACTACTGTCCTGTAAAAATAACCAAAGCTTAGTTAATAATGTTGGATGTACAGGAGAAATCATAAAAACTGAACAGATTCATTAGAACATTCTGATGTTCTTTACAGTTAATACCATGGTACAAGAAGACATAGCATGCTACTCCGGTGGATGAATTTTCGTCTGGTTTCCTCACCAGCCACGTGACGTCACATTGCCTTGAAAATTAGTATGAAGGCATTTCTCTAATTGTATCTAGCACTAATACTGCATTAGAAGCTTGGAACAAAGTTATTAAAGATGAACACACACTTCGAGAGCGATTACCATTTGCTAATTTTTTAAAAACCAATCAAGAATATCTGTCCTCATGGTCTAACCAATATTTGTCAGGGATGAAAATTTTCACAAATGAACCAGGAATAGTAGTGAAATTGTGGACAAAAAGTTGTCTGTAGACTCGGTCTAATATACGCGTGTCTACTAGCTTCAGCTGGAGCAGGTAGACTCTGCGGAAGCTTTTGAAACATTTGGTACTTTCAAAATAACATGTTTTTCTGCATGGTGCACGATGCTACCCATTGAAAAATCGGAATATTTAAAAAGAACAATCTAAATCCATCGCGTTCCATGAAGATTATCATTTGGGAATTTTTTCGGAAACAGTTGCTAAATGATCCCAATTTTATCAGGAACATGTTATTTAGTGATGAGGTCAAATTTTCCAGCAATGGCAATGGAAACAATAAACAGAATTTACATTATTACGCACAAGAAAATCCGCGTTGTATTCGTTAAACTTATTTTCAAACAATTATTTTCATCAACTTTCATTTTAAATGTAATACAGTGACACTTTGTTTTGAAATTTTAAAACCACAAACTTCGTGGATTTGTGATATTTTTTAAATTGTTTCGTAAATCAAGGAAAAAATAATGTATTTTGAGTTGTCCTTAACCACAAATCGTCATTTAGGTCGAATCACCATGTGTATACATGTAAAAAAATAAAATTCGCAAAATCAAATCTTTTAATTTTTCGGGACAACTGCATTTGATGTACTGTACTGTATGGGTGTGGGAGGTTCTGTCGAAATAACCTTGGACCAATTTTTACTTCCTGGGCGTAAGCTAAGAAAGTATTGTAATCGGGTCCATTCTATGACTGATTACCTTTATTATTTTTTATTGATCAAATTAAGAACGAGTCACTCCATTTTCTTGAAAATATGAGAATACGCAAGTCTTTGTTTAGTAGTGATTAAATAAGAATTTTAATAATAATAGTCCGAACATTTTGTTCGATGGTGGCTTACTTAATTCATAATTTAAATAACATCCACTTTGTAAAATTTTGAGTAACCTACGTCATCACAATGTTGGTGGAGAGGATTAAACAAAGTTTGGTCAACGTTTTACCATCTACACTACACGATATTCAAAACACAAATATAAAATTTCACACTAATCAATCCGGTAGTTTTGTAGAATATCTGTCTAATAAAAATCGAGCCTATTACAAGATTTCGTTAGCTTGCGCCCGGAAAGTAAAAACGCTGAGAAAACACGAAATTAAAGGTGTTTGTGATTATTAGAATTGCTTCGAAGGACCAAAGTGCGACCGTTTTGCTTGGGATTTATTCCAGAACTTAAAACTACAAAATTGTGTTTACCGGTACCGACTAAATGGGGTGGGTGGGACACAGCCCCACCGCTCACAACCCCAGGTATGTACCTGCTTAAGATGATTGGATATGGAAATTTCCAACATGTTTATCACAATAACCCGATCACAATAGTTCCCTTACCTATCGAGCTAGAAAAACGTACGATTAATTTATCAGATACATAAGAATAACAACATCGATTTTGATAAATATGAACAAAGCTTTAGTAGTCATCTTCTGGTGTATATGCCACCCATTAAACGCCGCTTCATGGCACATACATAACTCCAATTACTTGAAATACGATTTTCCAATAATTTAGAGTACCTACCTAACTTGTGGCTTCTAAGATGGTGAGCGCATTTCTTATTAGTTGTACATGTGTTCCAATTTACTTCAGAAAAAGTAATATCTGTAGTAATGTATTTCATTCAATATTATTTATAACTGTAAGAAGTACGCACAATTTAAGAAAATTTTTAATTTTTATAAATTGTTAATAATTCACACACCCATTGGATACTATCAAGTAGTCATCATACATGTCAACATTTCTGCCAATGTTTAAAAAAGCTTTTTAAAATATTTTATTAAAAAATTTAAGCCTGATGTAGCTCCAAAGACGTCCAGTGCGTCACTGTTATGACTAATATGATAGTTGAAGAATCGCAAATTTTAAATTTTCAATGTTCTTTAAATCAATTTAAGAAAAATTGATCCAAAATTGCTCCCTCGCACCTAAAGTACAATGAAACATATACAGCATCTCTGCATCTTCGAGTTGAGTTTTTCTTTACACAATCTTGTGATGACGTCATCAGCATTTTTGCAAAGTCACGTTAATCAATTCGGATTGATGCAGTGTAATACTAAAAATAACAGTATTGTACTCCCAAAATTTTCTGTGAAAAAGGAGTGAGCCGTTTCTGATTTAATAAAAAAAATAAATAAATTGACTCATTCATGAATTTTTTTGAACCACCTGTTTAAGCAAATCTAATAATAAATTATAAGTATAGACTGATGATATTTTGCACATTTTACTCGCAGATAGGACTTGTTCGGTAAAATTTTGAGATGACGTCTTCAATTTCTTGGGGTTGATAAACAGATACATTTTGATTAACAATTTACCATGGTTACAATAACTTCAAAACATCTGCAAGATTTCAAAGTATTCAGTTTTGTAATTCTTGATTTATTCAGCACAATAAATTGACTCAGTCATTAATTGTTTTAAGCCATCTGTTTATGCAAATCTAAAAAATATTAATGCAGTGATAAATCACAAATATAGACTCATCATATTTTATACATTTAAGATAGACTTTATTTAGCAAAATTTTGAAGTGATGTCATTAATTTTTTAGGAGGACGAGCAAATAAATTTTGATCAAAAATTTACCATGCTTATGATAACTTTAAAACATCTCCAAGATTTCAAAGCATTCGGTTTTGTAGTTCTTGATTAAATCAATAAAATACATTAAAGCATCCATTAATTTTTTAGTTCACCCTATGCAGGGTGAGTATTATAATAACGGGACCCTGACCAAATTTCAATGCAAGACAAAATACATATATCATATGTAACTCTTTTTATATATTTTTTTCTAAAATGTACAGACATAATTAGTTACCTAGTACTCCTAGTTATTTTTGACTTTCGCAATAATTCTATTGGTCAATTTTAAGTTCCGATAAGTTTTTAGTCTACGTCATAAGATGAGGGTTAAATACACGAACGATGAAAAGGCTGATAAGATCTTGATTTTTGGAGAATGCGGAAAAAATGCCGTTGTAACAGCAAATCTCTACTAAAGAAGATATCCCGATAGGCGACATCCATCCGACCAAATCTTTAGATGTTTAGAAGGAACGTTAAGTCAAAATTGGCCGAAAGAAACAAGAAATAGAGGATTTATCGCTACTGGTGTCGAAAATAAAATTCGTGTAATTAAAGCCGTAGACAATGACCCGCATGTCAGCCAAAGATTTATAGCACGACAGGTAGGAATATCTCAGTCTTTCGTTTCAAAAATTTTGAGAGCGAATAAGTTTCACACTTACCAAGTGTAGTACAAGATCTAAAAGAAGAAGACTTTCCCAGAAGAATACAATTTTGCAATTTTATGCAACATCAACTTGAGTTGGACAACAATTTTTTATTCAAAGTTTTGTTCAACGATGAAGCAAGATTTGTTAATCGGCACAACTGTCACTATTACTCCCAAAATAACCCACACTGGATCAGAACAGCTCATTTTCAAAATGTTTATTCCATAAATGTGTGGACTGGTATTATTGCACATTACGTAATTGTCCCATACATCTTCGAATGCAACTTAACAGGACACAGGTATCGACAATTTTTGGAAAATGATTTTCCGGGGTTATTATAAAATGTTCCTCTCAACCTCCGACAAGAGCTGTGGTTTCAGCAGGACAGGGCATCATCTCATTATCAGAGAGTTGTTAGGGACTATCTTGATGAGACGTTTGCAAATAAGTGGATTGTCAGAGGCAGTGTGAATGCAAGGCTCACTCGTAGTCCCGACTTACACCTTTAGATTTCTTCCTCCGGGGTGTTGTAAAAGAACAAGTTTACCAATGTCCTATGGGTAATTGTGAAAATTTAAAGAACAAAATTAGAAATGCATCTGCTGCTTGCTTAAATCGCATCGAAATGTGTTGCGCAGGAAGGAAGGCATTTTGAACAGTACTTACGCCAGGTAAACTTATTTAACTGTTCAATTTATTTATTAGACTTCTTTGAATTAATATGTTGGTGTTTTTTTTAATATTTCGTTTGTGAAATTTTGATTGCCGTCTTTCAGAAACAGTGACAACTAGTAAGGAGAGTACCTACGTTGATCCTAAAAACGTATATGCTTATTTTGGAATCTAGCAATAACTTATAGATGTATGTTATGTTTCACTGAAAATTGGTTAGGGTCCCGTTATTATAATACTCACCTTGTATATGCAAACAAAAAATATGAACAAAATAAATTGCATGGACACTCATCATATGTTCTAGAGTCTGTGCGTTTTCAGATAAGCACACCTATAAACTTGCGCAGCAAACGAAAATGAGTCGGCCAAGTCTACTTTTAAATTTAAGGGGTGGTCGCATCACCCATTGGCGTGCAACGTGCATAAGCTTCAGTAAATAAATCGTTGTCAATACATCATTCGTTAAACGTTTTTCGTAGTGTTCACTTGTGTTTATGTTTTTGTGTTGTGTTCTTCTGCTATAAGTTGCGATTTAGAAAACAGTTCTTTTCAGAACTACTGTGATTATAATTTGACGTTTGAAATAAGTTCCGCCACTGGTGGAATTCTACTTGTCAGATGAAGATGACTCACTGTGCTTATCTGTAAACGCACGGTCTCTACAATTTAGATAGGATTTATTCGGCAAAGTTTTGAGCCGCCGGCGACGTCACCAATTTTTTGGTGGGTATAAGCAAATATATTTTGTTTAAAAATTTATCATGCTTATCGTAACTTTAAAACATCTGCAAGATTTCAAAGCATTCGGTCTTGCAGATTGAAAATTAAATTGCAAAATGTTCTTTTATAATTTTGATTTTTTCCAAAAAACTGGACATTTCTGGTAAAAACTCAACACAGAATCATGGACTACGTTATTTTATACAATTTAAAATCCATTTACTATGTACATTTTCGATTAGACAAAGTTTGGTTAGCGTTTTACCATCTACATGGTATGCATAATACACATATAAAATTTGGCAACAATCGGTCCAGTAGTTTCGGAGATTATATGTCTAATAAAAATCCGGACGGACGGACGGACAGACGGACAGACAGACAGACGGAAACCGGAGACCAATTTCTTCGTACTGTAGAGGTCATGAAAAGTAGAGAGTCGTTCGACGGATTTGCAAATTTGGTACGTAACTTTCAAATGGAATGTTCTGTATACTTTTAAATTGTAGCCCTAAATAAGTTTTTTAAGCTGCGCCAAAAATGTTTTTCGATAACGAAAAATATTTATGAAAGTCACTAAAACGAGAGTTTCGTTTTACAGAATATTCGACTAACTTTTTAGATATTTTGAACATAAACGGCGGTAAGAAAATACTGTTATTTGCACCTAAATTTTTCCATATGTAATTTAAAAAATAAGTGAACTCCAAAGTAAAACGTTGTGTATATGGTTTATCTTTACCATAGTTATTTATTTAGAAAACTAACTTCCAAATGTTATCAGTTATCACTCAAAACAGCTTTTTATTCACAAATTTAAATTGTGTTTACAATAAGAATAATAACATTCGAATTTTTTCTCCGATCCCATAGGTAATGTCTCCTCCGTACCTTAGGAATTTGTTGGTCTACCTATGTAGAAAGAACTGCATAGGTAGGTACTTTAATAGTTTTTTTGCCGCTAACAGTTGCAGTAAAAGACATTATCAATCTAACCTTTTCACATCTACCGATCATTTTTAACTCTCAGAAAACTTTAGAAATGTAAATTTATAAATAAAACATTTAAAACAATAACCTCTTGTAATATGTTAATATAATTACATTTATTAAAATATAAACAACCAGTTGCATTTATATGTGGTTTTAGTTACTTCCCCCCGTTGGGAAATATATATTAAGTATAATATTATGAATGAGCTTTACCTCGTATGCGGTAATGCTTTTTAAATAAATAAATAATTATTTATCTAATAATAATTTTGTTTGCTTATATGCAGGTTTTAGTCTTGCTCTGGTCCGAAAATATAATGTCAAGAATTTTGTGCATTAAGGTTCAACTGTAATGTATAATTTATAGGTGCGACTATCTCGCCTAATTTAAATTCTGAATTACATTAGCTTTAAAAATAAATTTAACGTTATGCTTCCCCAAAAAAATGGGTATTTATAACTAGTGTAGGTAACAATAACCGAAAAACTAGTTCTCACCGTTGGGTATCAACCAATTAAGTGTTTAATGTCAACGTGCTTTACTTTGTCAAACTGTTCTCATCAAGACGGCTCCGTCGTCCTTCGCACCACACCCAAGCTTCTATAAAAACCCACATTTACCAGAATTTATAATCAGTCTTTAAACAACACAGACCTCCTTCATCATGTACAAGCTGGTGGTGTTGTTCGCTACTCTGGCTCTTGCCTATGCGAAACCTAGTGGAATCGCACATGGCGTAGCCCCTGTAACTTACACTGCTTCAGTACCGGCCATTTCGGCAGCCGTCAGCCACCAAAGTAGGACCGACTTCGTTAGTAACCCCGTATTCACTTCTTATGCGGCGGCTCCTGTTGTCGCCGCTGCTCCTGTTGTACAGACCGCCGAGGTGGTAGCTGCCGCCCCCGTCGTGAAAACAACACTCACAGCCGGTCCACCAGTGACTCACTACGCTGCTGTCCCTGTCACCGGAACCGCCTACACCCAGAACGTTCATTACGCCGAAAAAGATGTTGTAACGGGCTATTCTTCCCAGATTTACAAACCCAATTTAGGAGCCTTAGCCACTCCCATCGAAACTGTTTCCCAACAGCAAGTTCTTGCACCAGCTCGTGCCGTCCAGACCATCACTCCAACTGTTACTCAAGTCCAACCGGAAGTCTCCGTCAGAAGAGTCGAAGTTGACGTTCCAGTACAGACCCCTGTCGTGAGCGAAGTAGAATTACGCACTCCTGTTGTAGCCGCCGCCCCCGTCGCCAAGGTTGCTGCAGCCGTCCCCTCCATTTCCGGTTACTCTTACTCCGTTTCGGCACCTGCTGCTGCGGCCAAAGTAGCCGCCGTCGCTCCGGCTGTTTCCAGCTACTCCTACTCTGTTCCCGCGCCCGCGCCTGTCGCCAAAGTTGCCGCCGTCGCTCCGGCTGTCTCTAGCTACTCTTACTCTGTAACGGCCGCACCCGTCGCCAAAGTTGCCCCCGTCGCTCCGGCCGTCTCTAGCTACTCCTACTCTGTTCCCGCGCCCGCGCCTGTCGCCAAAGTTGCCGCCGTCGCTCCGGCTGTCTCTAGCTACTCTTACTCTGTAACGGCCGCACCCGCTGTTTCTGTCGCCAAAGCTGCCGCCGTCGCTCCAGCTGTGTCTAGCTACTCCTACTCTGTTCCCGCTCCAGCTGCTCCTGCCGCCAAAGTTGCCGCTGTAGCTCCGGCTGTCTCTGGCTACTCGTACTCTGTCGATGCACCCGCTGTTGGCGCTATTGCTCCTGCAGTGACTGTTGCGCAAGTAGCTCCTGCTGTAGCTACCAGAGTTGCTGCTGTTGGTCCTGTAGCTGCGTATGCTACAGCCCCTGCAGTTAACAGTTATTCATATTCAGTTTCTGCTCCTGCTGCTGTAGCTGCACCTGTTTTTGCTTCCAGAAGTATCAGTGTACCATCTAGTTTTGCTACGACCGAATTGCGCCAAGTAAATGTAGAAAATCAATGGTAAATTAAGAACTGAAACTGATTTTGTTATAATTTAATACTGTATTTTGTAAATACAAAATATATTAATAAAATGCAACTATAATTTTATATTTCTGCTCTTATAGCTTTTTTTCTAAAGCCGCTTGTATATATAAAGGTTAAGATGAGTACGTGCAAATAGTTTAAAAAATACTGCAAATAGCTAAAAACCGTAGTATTCATGTTTGCGTACGTAGGTATCGGATGTGTAAAGAGTGATAACAAAATAAAGCATACAACACAATAAAATCTTTATACATAATGGTAATTCAAGTTTCTAATATTCGGCATGAAAATTTTTCCTGTAACTTTCATCTTTACATTATAAAGATTTTGTTGCAATTATTCATTAATAAGTCATTACTAGCCCTCTGCCCACAACTTCACCCCTGTACACCTAAGAACTTAAGAACCTAAGAAGTTATTTGATTGCTAGGAAAACTACCTTAATCTCGCTGTCGCTCGGCGTTTAATCGTCCATACTCCGTCACATAAAATTTCACTTAAACTCCTAATAAAATATAATTTTTTAATTTCAAACGATTAATATTCTTTTGCAATGATTATTCCCTGTCTTCTTGCTTCATCAAAAATTGACCTGCATCCACTTACCATAGTTACTATGGTTGACAACCACGACCATTTTCACATAAAGTAATCTATTTATACTCCGCCGGAGTATAAGTGTTTTATTTATACTCCGGCGGAGTATAAGTAGCACTTATACGACTTATGCGCCGCTCAAACACGCTGTCATAGAAATGACACTTAAACCCCGGTAAGAACGTCATATAAGTGTCAGTTATATGACATTTGAAAATAATACTCCTAGTATTTAACATTACTAGCATAGTAAAAGGGTTTTCATTGGCGGACTGGCCGCAGGCGAGCCAGGCACCTTCTGGAGCCAGTAAAAACCGGTTACCTTGCGTGTATTGTTCAATATTTTATTTGTTTCTCACTTGTAAATAACTATTATAAACTATTAAAAACTCGTAGAAGGTCCGACATTTGAAGAAACATCGTATGAGCTTTAGACGTATTGCCTTGGAAACGCACGCAGCATGGCACTTATTGTGTTGTCTAGTTCTGTCATTTAGATTGTTCGATTTATCGTTTTCGATGTATTGAAATGAGTGTGGCGCAAGCTATATCACTGAGGAAGCAGCAATTGTGAGTGAAAATTTTGCTGAATCAACTTTGGCTGTCATTTCAACTTATAATTATGGTGACCATATTTTTTTTGAAAAAAAGAAGTACACCCCACCCAATGAAAATTCCAAGTTACTTTATTGTATTAGATTTCAAGTAATGAAACATTTCATTACACGTTTCTTCGAAGTTTAGGTACACCTGCATAACAGCTTCCAAAATGGACAGGCCTAGGGCGTTCTGCTCACTAGTCCAGTATTTGTTGATGTTAGAAAATAGTCTCTCAATGCTTGCGCTTGTCCCTGTCAACAAATTTCATTATTATTTAAAACATTGAAATCAATCAGCTGGATTTGTACCTGGAAGGCAGAGGGCAAATTCGCATAACATTTTCAAGTTTATTGGTGTGACAGCACACTCTCTGTACTAGCTCCGTAATAACTAAGCAGGAAATATGACATGCGTATGACGCCCGACGACCGTATGCACAAGAACGGTGAGTACTTGATGGAGAAATGCTGCATTTGATAGAGTGGGATGGACATATGTAATATTAATAATAAATATTAGATATGACTTCGAAATCATATGATCATAAGTTAGTAAAAAAAAAGTACATTTTAATGTACTTTGCTCTTCTGTGAAGACAAAAGGACATCGTTTCCAAAAAAAGTACTGTCCTATTAAAATAAGTACATATGGTCACCATACTTATAATAATTTAAAATAGCAGGAGCAGGGGTGTAAAAATTTTACTGGCTAGCCGGTAAAATGTTTACAGGCTATAGCCAGTTAAGTGATATTTTCATGTGGGATACAGTGACTTGATAAATTGATGTTTACAAGTGAGGAAAAAATAAAATATTTTACTCCGACGCTCAACAGAGATTTCCGAGAAAAAGAAGAAGACAAAACATTTGGCCACTTTTTACTCCCCAAGGAATAAAATTAAACAGATTAAAACGTAGTTAACCTTTGTAAAAATAAACCAAGTCGATAACTTACCGAACGAAACATTTTTTTAAAGAATCTAAAAATTTATTAAATCTCGTTTCAGCTTCTTTAAGGCTGAATTTGTAGAAAATCTATGCTACATCGTAAGCGTAAGCCACTCGGCCACCTCAAAAAATTCTGAGAAAGTAGAGGGATTTAAATATAAACGTTAACTTGTTGCTGCTGCAATACCAGATCTAAACAAAATGTGTTAAATATAGTATATGAAAAGGTATTTGACTTATTGGTATACATATTAAGAATTTTAGCAGACATAAATCAGCAGTTACTTTGAAATGAAAAGAAAATCAGAAAATTCTAAACGATTCTCTTCATATATACATGTTGTACACAATCTTTACGTCTGTATGGAAATTAACAAGTATTTTCAAATCTTGTTAAAATAATTGCATGTTAGAAGAAAATATTCTTTTTTCACTACCACTTGTAAAAGACGTTATGACCTGTGTCCATAAAGTCCACCCCTGCCCCTTGTAATTTTGGAACCGCTATAGGTTATGTTTTGAAATAGAAAAACGTGTGAATGAGTAATCAAATGATGCTCCTCGTCATGATAGTGACACGCGTTGAGCTTGAAATGTCAAAACTATGACATGTACGTAAAAAAAATTAAATGGCTTAGTAGGTCGAGTAGCCCTCTTTTGAGAACTACAGATTTTTCGAAAAATCATAGGAGTAAAATTTAATTTTGAAGGTTTTGTTTTTTTTAATGACATAAGTTAAAAAAAACGATAAGTGTAGACTGTACAGATAAAGAAATATGCTATGCGTATATTTCACATTTCAAGTCAGTTTTTCCAGATAGGTACATCTTCTTCTAGAAATCTCAAATAAAGACATTTTATATATTAGTTAACATTATGTCAGAAATAAGTAAATATGGAATTTAAATCATTTGCTCTCAAGAACATTTTATAAAAATTCGAAGCGAAATACTTATCGCCACAGAAATCATTTAGTTGGGTGGAGCCAGACTACAGATTTGGCAAGGTCAAGAATAACTTGACATTTAAGCTACTGTGAACCCGGTAACGAATCAACTTTTGTTTATTAATATTCTTACTCCAATGTACGTCTAGATTTAAAGCACCACGTACTAAACTATTCACAACGACCAGAGGCACTCTTAATAAAAAATAGGCGCAATAACTCGAATGAACCAAGGAAAAATATCAACCTACAATTTTTTTTTAAGGCAACTCATCGAAAATGTTAAAAACACAAAGCCGCTACAGCGTATTACCCACAGTAATTTACAACACAGTACGAAAAATCCATTTTTAAATAAAAATATTTTTTTTCATTATATACCAACCTATATCAATACCTAAATATATATACATATATAAATTCGTCGGCCAGTTAGAATTCTATGAAATTAAAATATTGTTCTTGTTTTCGTATAGGTAGCTAGTTTTAACCTGTTTTTAAAATAAGTTTACCATTTAAAAAACGTTCATAATGTCATACCCAAATTCACTAAAGAAATAGAAACACGTTCATTTGAAATATATGCTTATATGCAAAAAAATCTTAAACAAACAGCATATACACAAAACTGGTCCAAAGTCGCATACACTGCTCATAAAAAAATAGTAAGTATATATGTTAGAAAACCTGTAAAAAATTGTACAAAATAGCAAAACACCTATCACAATTTTATAATTTCTGCTGAGATCTAAAATATTAACAAGTTTAAGAATTTCTTTAAATTTTTATTCTTTTTCTACTTTAAATACCTATGTACATATTGTATGTAAATTATAAATACCAATTAAAAACTTTTACTACTGTCGTCCGCTTGTAGCCTGTATTACGCGTATGTACGAATAAATGTCAAAAATCAATTTGAATAAAATGATATCAGATAAAATAAAGATCTTCAAAGCATAGTAAACTGGGCACCTTTGTTTAATTCAAAAGCAATTAAAAAATACCATAAATATTTTTCAAGCAGTCTAAATGTTAAATGCCCACACCAAAGAAGAAAAACAACGTACAACCGCGTGAGGTTTCCGGGTGACATTGATATGGGTGGGGCCATATAGTCGAACCAACATTTAAATGAATTACTGCAAAATACATTGTTGCCCAAAATAAAATTTGCAGAGAGGGGAATTTATATAAATATGACGCATTTCCAGTATGGCTATAGTTGTATAGGTTGCTGAACGATCAGTTCGCATAACTCAATTGAAAATGTTCAAATTGGTGAGCATAACTTGTTTTATAATTTAAATAAATCAAAACAAAGTCATCGTCAATCATAAAAAAAAACTAAACTTATGTCTGAATTATTTTTATTATAGTTTATTGTTGCTGCCCTTTTGGCTGTCGCTTCGGCTAAGCCTGGTATTGTTGCCAACACCATCGCCTACTCGGCACCTGTTGTCTCTCATGGTGTGGTTGCTCCAATAGCCGCAGCCCCTTACGCAGTCGCTGCCCCCATTGCTAGAGTTGCTGCCGCTCCCGTCGCCATACCAGCTCCAGTTGCGTACAGTACAGGAGCTGAAATTACTGTACACGCCGAACCTGTAGAACAACATGGATATAAAATTGTCTATTAACCTATATTCATGAGGTTGTTTGAGACTGCTTAGTATTTTTTGTAAATAAACGTTGTTAGTTATTACATAAAGGTTATTTTATACGACTACGGAATAAAATTCTTACACCGCTGTAGATTTTACTTTTTCATACTCGTACAGTATAAAAAATACAAGACAATATAAATAATAGACTGAACGCAGACAATTTCGTTTCATTGTTACCATACTTCCCTAGGTAGTGGTTTTGCAAATGATGAAAAACTGTATTCAAATTGATTGATTTGTCAAGTGATACATAATCTCTAACAGTCTATAACATACATAGAAGGACCGACATATTCGTATTTTACAAGCATCAGACATTCGTTGTAATTAGTCTATTAAGTATAATAATGCCTCTTTTAGTTTACACTCAGGAAATAGAAATTAAAGAACAGTACATAAGTACTAAAAGAAGAGTCGTATCTTATCTGGGGCAATGACATCATCAATTTTTTTGTTAGTACCTGCAAATATTTTATTTTCATATATTTTTATATATGAAAATAAAATTTTCATTTATAAAAATATATGAAAATTTATAGAAAAGGCAAAGTTTATATTTTTATAAACTTAACAACAAAGAAACGGCATTTGACTCAAGTTTTCAAAAGATGCGTATATTATAAACTATACACAGACGTGAGTTTAACTAAAATTTAGGTTAACACCAAAGTGTCACTTATACGTCAAGATAATATTCAAATCCACATTATATTTGACACTTATCGGAACGAAGTTCTTTATCGCCCGTCTCACAGGGCTACTTGGAGGAGTAGAGCTAGGCCTAGAAAAACGTAAAATGGCCTCAACATACTTAATAATTGCTACAATATTGTTACGAAATAAACCCATACGCCGCCCCGCTGCGACGCCTATGGGTTCTAAGCATGTACGTCGCCGATGACTCATTGTCGGTAGCGGCGGCCGGAGAAGAGCCTGGAAGCGGAAGTCGCGAATGGGTGCTCCAGAGAAGTCGAGAAACGGTGACGTAGGCGTGCTGTTTAAATGGGAACCACCGTCGGGAGCAGTTTGTGTAGTCCAGAAAACGAGAGCTGAATTCAGACAACAAGTCCAGTCTAGCGAGTGTCGAAAAAACCCTGACAAGTTGTGCGGGAATTATTTTGTACATCATCGCTGTAATAGTTTTAGTCGTGTAAATTCGAGTTAGTAACAAGTAAATTGTTGATTTTTACCCACGGCGATTATAATTCGCCCGTTCAACGTAACAATATATTGCATTGCTCCTGAATACTTTTACTCTTTGTCTCTGGTTGTTTTGTGTGTTTACAAGCCGCACGCGCCGTTACTTAATAAATAATGGATAGTGAAAGTGATTCATTGGAACTATCAATGTTTAAGTAACAATGAACAGTGAACAATAAATAATGAAACGTAAGAATAATTTTTGAAGTTATTGCAGTTGTCATGTTTTGGAGAAAATTTTTTATAGTTTTAATTGAATATTTATTTGGCATTGAGAAAAAGACAATGTCTTGTATTGTATTATTATTTTTCTAAATGTTTCATGTAATAAAATATTAATTAAAAATATAAAAATTTATAACTATCTTCTAAATACGATACATAAATGTAAAATGAGAAGGGTGTCATAATATTGTTTCTTAATGACTTAAAAATCTATGTGGGTTATTGTTGTGAACACATACAATTGTATTCAAAAAATATTGGGCACTGTCATACACATAATATCATTTATGACAAATCATATTATGTGATTCAAGGTTTATGTCATTTTGACAAATATTAGCACTTTTCAAAAATCTATTTTGTCAAACGATGCCTTCGATATTATTAATATCCGAGAGATATGACACTACTAAGTAAAATAGATTATTTAAGTAAATAAAGCACATTTTACAAGTTATGGCATTAGTAAATAACAACTGCCCAATATTTTTTGTAGAAGCTAATACGACAATTTTTAATCATGCATGTTTTGTCCTATTAAAAGCTTATGTTATTTGAAAACGGGGTTACATTAAAAAGCTGTACCTTGGAACAGGAAACTGCTTTTAACTTTCTTTTTTAATTTATTATTATAATTTTATTATCAATTCCTTCATTTATTTTACTGTACTATTTTATAAATTATAAATAAGAGTATGGAACTTCGTTCCATACGAGTGTCCCACGACACCTCACGTCTTTTGTCATTCGATTTTAACACTTAAATATGTAGTATACACAATAGCCTACCCAGTGGATTCGCAACAATTGTTGTCATTAATTTTTTTCGGCAACTTTGCAATGCAACGTTATCCTCATTGATGCTCTCTTACCACAATTTTGTGGAAATTAAAGGGACAGTTTCTGAGAAAACAAAATATAAATCGATTCTTATGTTCATTGTTTTAACACACTCTCTGGCAGAAAATGTAAAAATTAAAACTACCTTTATTAGCAAAGTAGAGGTAACAGTGTATCTCAAAGCATATTGTTTAATCGACATTGTAAGATGTATTTGCAAGAACAACCAGAGCTGGATGCATTTATCGACCCTAGTTGTGCAACCGCAAACGCTTTTTCAAAGTATTGTTACGTTGTTCGGGCGAATAAAATCGGCGTATGTAAAAACTCAACAATTTGTCTGAATAATTTCTGTACATAAATCGTTGCAATAGTCGTGTAAATAACTCAAATTTACACGACTATTGCAACGATTTATGTACAGAAATTATTCAGACAAATTTCACTCGCCGCTCTTGACTCAACTAGCTGAATGAATGCTCTTCCCGACGGTGGCCTCTGTTTAAACCTATGCGTGCCTGTCGGTGGATCCAGAACGCCGCATCGAGAGTTTTCTGTCCCGTAATCGTAAGCCGCTCCAGACTTGCCTTTGTGGAAAGCCGTATCGACACTGTCAGCGCTGTCAGCAATGCTGACTCACCCATCAACGTCGTGCGTACGTCTAGAAAACTCTTGACGGCCGTAGGCGTCGTACTGGGGCGGCGTAAGGGTGTACTTCGTAACAGTATCCTCCCTCCTCTCATTCTACCTCTACAAGATTGATTACCGATTTGTCTATAAATACCGTCTATACAAAATACTATTTATGGTGTATGTTTCAAACACAACTTTTCCAGTAAAATTTAGTAATCACGTCGTTAATCTTTTAACGAACATCTCAATGAGTTTACATTCAGTTCCTGAGTACCCCCCAAGGTCACCAGGTTTAACCCCTCTGGATTACTTCTTGTTCGATTTGTTTAAGCGAACCTAAAAAATTGGTCGAAAGTTGTTTCGACAGAACTGCTCTCGCTCCTGAAGTACAATAAAACATCCAACATTCTCGAATTGAATTTTTCCTTTACCTAATATTGTGATGACGTCATCCACATTTTTGCAAGGACACGTATATCAACTTACGGGCTTTATAAGCAAATCCGAAAAATATTAATGGAATAATAAATCATCAAGTAAAAACTCATCATACTTTGCACATTTTAGTTAGGATTTATACGGCAAAATTTTGAGCTGACGTCATCAACTTTTTAGAGGGATAAGCAAATATACTCGTCTTTTGATTAAAAATTTATTATACTCTTCATAATTTTAAAACATCTGCACGATTTCAAAGCATTCGGTTTAGTAGATTCAAAATTAAATTGCTAAATGTTGTTTCATAATTTTGATTTTTTCCCAAAATTCTGGACGTTTCGAGTAAAAACTCAACAAGGACTCATAAACTACATATGTAGGACTATGTTATTTTATACAATTTAAAACCCATTTACTATGTATAATTTTGAAATGACGTCATCAGTCATCACATTATTGGTGGGGATGATTAGAGAAATTTTGGTTAGCGTTTTATCATCTACATGATATTCCTAATATAAATACAAAATTTTACAACAATCGCCCCAGTACTTTCAAAGATTATTTGTCTAATAAAATGTAAAAGTAGAGAGTCGGCCGACGGACTCGATTACAATACTTCCTTTGCTTACGCTCAAGTATTAAAAAGAAAAACGGACTATTTGAGAGAGATTGAAAGGTCCGCAACTGACTGGTCTGCCAGAATAATTGCTTGCACTCAAACATCGCGAAGTAGGTACATGGTGATTATATTATCTATTCACGTCTGGGTATTTCTGAATAGGCAACAGAAAAATTAATCACTCTGTATGTATAACTTCAAATCCTCTAATTATATTATAGAGAAAAAATAAGTACCTTATTCAAATTCATGACAAACGTATTGAAAACAAATTGAAATATCTAAACATCAAACTGATGTATGCCATTTTTCGATGTACTGCATATATTTCAACGTAAATTTTATGTTCCTGCATAGAATTCAAAGATCAAATTCCGCGGTATTTTTTCTGAAAGGTCTGGAAACCTTAGTTACCGGTTACCGGTCGCGTTGTTAATGACGAAAAAAAGTGACAGCTGTTTAAAAATGCGACATGAATTAATCAAATGTGCTATTTCGTTGAAATGAATCGGCGGGGTGTTGAATTTTCATTCGCAGAATCATAGATCAAGCGTGCAGTGTTTGTGATCCTAACCTAATACAAGACCGTGGATTTGTTGGAAAAAGATTTGGAATAACATTAAAAAGTGAAGCTGGGTCTGTTAATAATTAATAATAATATAATATAAACATCCCACATATAAGATCAAATCGAAGCAACCAGTTGGTAAAGAAAAATTCTTCCAGGTTAGTTTTTAGTTTTAAGTGTTACGACCACTTTACATCCTGAGATCGTATCATACCGATTTAGAGTTTTAAACATTTACAAAGCCCAGTTTTGTCTATGTAATAACGGACATACTCGGATGAATGCGCAGGTGAATATGTACCTAATATGTATAAAAATCATCTTTATAAAAAGAATCATATTTGGGAGTAAGGTACGGTCGTCGTGTCCGTAGAATTAAGTATAAGTCAAAAGCTTATAGCTATTTTAGTAGCTTAACATTCCTACAAAATAAAATAACTAACACAAGGATATATTAATTACAGTGAACAAATAGTTGGTAAGATAATGAATGCGTACTTATAACCAATCGTACGAATTAACTAAAGCTGATTACAAAATCAAACAGTTACTCTTATTTTTGTTACTAGCTGACCCCGTGAACTCCGTTTCACCTACAATTTAATTTTGAATCTGCAAAATCGAATGCTTTGAAATCTTGCAGATGTTTTAAACATATGATAAGCATAATAAATTTTTATTCAAAATATATTTACTTATCCCCTCCAAAAAATTGATGGCGTCAGCCCAAACTTTTGCCAAATGAATCCTATCTAAAATGTCCAAAATAGGATGAGACTATACTTGTGATTTATCATTCCATTCATATTTTTTACTTTTGCTTATAGGGGGTGTCTCAAAAAAATTAATCACTGAGTCAATTTATTTTATTGATTGAATCAAGAATTGCAAAACTGAATTTTGAAATATTGCAGACGTTTTGAAGTTACTGTTTGACATTGTAGGTTTTAAATCAAAATATATCTGTTTATCAAGCCCAAAAACTTGAAGACGTCATCTCAAGATTTTGCCGAATAAATCCTATCTAAAATGTGGAAAATATCATCAGTATATTTTCGTAATTTATCACTGCATTCATATTTTTTAGATTTGCTTTTACAGTGACTCAAAAAAATATATGGATCAATCAATTTATTTTAGTGAATAACTCAAGAGTTGCAAAAATGAATACTTTGAGATCTTGCAGACGTTTTAAAGTTATTGTAGGCATGGTAAATTGTTAAGAATATTTATTTATTCCCCCCAAAAAATTGATGGAATGGCTCACTCGATTTTCGCAGATAATTTTGGGAATACAATACAGTTATTTTTAGTATTACACTGCACCAATCCAAGGTGGTATACCTACGTGTTGATAGTAAATGTTGATTAGGTCATCACAAAATTGTGTGAAGAAAAGACTCAACTCGAAAATGCTGAATATGTTTCATTATACTTTTGGTGCGAAGGAAGTTCTGTCGAAACAACGTTCGATCAATTTTTTGACAATGGTTGATATAAATAAAACTCAGTAGATGCTCATACTCGAAATACGAAGTATCTACTCGAATATCAAATCAAAATATTTCTAGTTTTTCTAGATGATACTAATACTTCAGTAAGTAACAGTTGATGCTCAAGTAGCATCTCGATACAACAAAAAAGGACAACAATGACAGTGTTCAACCATCAAGGCAAAAATCGAGTCACCAAAATATAAGTTAGTATGGGGTAGACACTTTGAGATGGGAATCTCTATGGCCAGTGTTAGAAAAAACGCACTGCACAATTTATGCATAAATAAAAGTTAATTACATGAAAAGTTTTCGATATTCCTGCTCCTAATGTGTTTTTCAAACTGAATGCACCTTTTGACGACGTTCCACATTTATGAAAGTCACCATGTTTAGTTAAAATTCACTCTTACAACGATCCTACTGGTTTTCTAAGCTACTTTACAGACAGCTCAGTTATTTGCCACGCCGATGCTCATTTCTAGATTAAATGCTCACAAAACGCGTAGATGTTCAGTTTGTGGCCGGGGAGATACAATGTTTCCCAGTAGGTACTCAGTACATAGAGTAGATGTTCAAGTATATAAGAGTAATAATGAAGTAGGTACTTCGTACTTCGAATATAAGTATCTACTCAGTTTTATTCATACCACCCAATGTCTCGCTTCAATGTTTGACTATTATGTTGATTATGAGCACAACGCTGATCAACTTCCATATCCGTTTTTTTACGAAAAAACGAAGAACGATTTGAAATGCAATATACTTTTTACAATCGCACGATAGAATTAGTTTTGTATGACACGTCAGTTAGACGACAACCATTGAAATTAATTTGAAGTGGCGATTCCCATACAAAATTTTTAGGATTTTTTGATTTTTTAGCTGTTCTTTTAAGTTTCCCCTATTTTTTTAATTTATAAACAATCCCCGTAATATAAAAATTTCTTCAAATCGCTCAAGCCGTTTTTGAGTCTTAGCGAGACTAATAGGAACAGCAATTGATTTTTATTTTATAGATGATTAATAAATGGGGGTTGGTGGTAGAAAGGTGAAAATTTAGGGTTATGTGTATTTTTTGATGCCAAATCTTAGAAAAATAAAAATAAAAAAATGTGTCAAAAAAATAGACAAAAATTTTTTAGGGTGGGCCACCCTTATCACTTAGGGGTTTAAAAAATAGTTTACAACCTATTGTCAGACCTACCGAATAGACATACAAAATTTCATACAAATCGGTCTACACATTTCGGAGAAGTTCGGTTACAAACATTGTGACGCGAGAATTTTATACATAATGCATTATTATTTTAGAACAAATTTCATTACCATAAAAAAGGTTATACTGACTCGACCTTAAAAGATAGACATATGCTGTCGCGGACTTTTCTTTAGAACTTTTAGAGGGGAACAATTTCGTTATACATGATTTTTACGTAACTTTAACCGTTTAAGCAGCGTAAGCAACGGAAGCTGTCAAAGGAGGAATAATTTTCCCGTTTTTCCGAATTTTTCATTGCTACTTCGCTCCTAATGATCGTAGCGTGATTTTATATAGCCTATATGTAGATATGATACATGGACTATCCAACACAAAAAGATTTCTTGAATTTGAACCAGTAGTTTCTGAGATTAGCGTGTTCAAATAAACAAGAGCTTCAGTTTTATTATATAAGTATAGATTTGGAGTTTAAATATCCAAGGACTGATTTACAAAACTGAAAAATGTGGGAAATATAGACTAATATAACATAGGGTATGGCTAGCGATAGCTGTATGCATTTTCGGTACCTACCTTTCTCTTCATATTGTGTACGAGCTCTAACAACTAAGAGTTGAATTTTAAAATATTATTGAGATATTAAACAATTTTAGTCCTTTTGGCGTTTTGGCATGACGCACCATCCTGCTGGATTTTATTTTCCAGCAGGATGCTGTGTGACCATCAGAATGTAATTTTTCAGTACTAGGCAATAACGAGTTATTTAAATTTTCTTAGTATTTCTGGGCGTTTATGGTTCCTTGAATACATTTTAAATATCCCAATCCTTTCGCCGACATGCACTCCCAAATCATAATCCCTTGTGCAAATTTTACTGTACGTTTTAAACCGCCTTCCTGGAATGCTTCATCTTTAGTCCTTATTACGCATTTCCGAAAATCACAGACACAAACATAGGACTTCAATTCGTCACTGAAAATTACTTTTTTCCAATCTTCCATTGTCCAGTTTAGTTTCAATTTAGCTCAAGCAAGTCTTTTTTTTTGCGCCTCTGTTAACAGTGGTTTTTCTATGTAGGTGTGGCATCATAATTTTTTTAAATTTATAGTCACTCGGTACTAATAAATAATTACTATATTTTCTCATACCGGACTTTTATAAGTGGTTCTTGCAATCAAGTGGGCACTATTTTGCTCCGCCATTTTTGAACTGCATAACCATCTTATTTGTTGTTGCTAAACATTTCACTGCTTGCATAAACTGTAGAATTTCAAATTAAATACTGACAATTTTATTTGTACAAAATACTACATTCACTTAAGATATGTAACATACTCTTCATTTAGGTTGACAACAAACCTTTATTTTCAATAAAACTGTTTTAAGATACAGTTCTACAAAAGAACGTTGAAAATGGTCGCCAGTTTTACTTCCCGAACGTAAGCGAAGGAAGTATTGTAATCGAGTCCGTCGACCGATTCTCTACTTTTACGTTTTATCGACGTTTCATGCCTCCTACAGTACGAAGAAATAGGTCTCTAGTTTTCGTCTGTCTGTCTGTCCGTCTGTCTGCCATTTGTCCGGATTTTTTTCTAAACACTCGCGGTTTTTTTCCTCTTTTGGAAATGACCGGCAATATTTCTTCACTTATGTTTTTGTTTGTCACAAAACTGTTCCAAATAAACCATAGTTAAACCTCCTGTGTTCTATTGCTCCATCTTGTTGAAAATAACTTAAATACTGAAATTTCGACATACAGCTGATGTATGAATGGTTGCAAAAATTCTTGTCTGTATCGTTCCTTCGTTACTAAACCGCGAAAAAATACAGGTTCATAGATTCTTCGCAACAATAGATCTGTTAATTACTTGTTCTTTCATTCAGAAGCCTTCTAAATTTCGTGGAATTCCAAACACGATGGAGAGAATAAGGCGCACAACAGGGATCCTGTATGAAAATTCATCGGACAAAGATTTTACCTTTTATTGTGAAAATTACATTTTTATACTATTTGTACAATTCTACCGGAAAAGCAGTCTTAAACAAGCAAAACCGGCAAAAATATTGTAACAAAACTGCCAAATTTCAAATATTTTAGACTAAAGCCACTAGATAGATAAAGTAGCGCAATTGGGCGCCATATTGTGTCCTCGCCAAATTCAAAATAAATAAATAAAAATTAACGGACTCGATACTTCCGTACAAAACGTAAATGTAGATTTTTTTCAAATAAGCATTTATTTATGTTTAAGCGTTATTTGTTCAATGCACTTAAATGCCATTGATAAACACAAGGGGTGAGTAAAAAATATAGATGAGAAACCTTGCAACACCAGTTTATTAACAAAATTTCGGCCGCAATAGTTTCCTTCCATCTGCTCGCTTTGCTTCGAATTGTTGTTCAGAAAAATGTAACTAAAAGTAAATAGTATTTAACATTGTGCAATTACATATGCAAGCTTTAAACAAATTACTTCGCAAATTCTGGAGTTGTCGTTCAAATCGTCCCGGCCTATTAAATTGTCCTCTTCTAGCCCTATTACTAACACCTGCAACAATTTAAATTAGTTGAGAAAACTAAATTGAAAACTCAGTTGTAACCTACCTGTTGGAAGACGAAACAATCGGCTTTTATTTCCACACAAACGATCACAACTTGGCATTTTAAAATAAGAGTCATAAAACACCACAAAAAAACACAAACAACTTTACAAAAAACACAAACAACTTTGCAAAACAGGTGATGCGTTAAAGAGCGTTTGACAATTAACATTGACGTTTGTCGGTCGCCATATTGTGTCCGAAATACACGTTCTCTCTCTAACACATTGAAACATTCAATTGCGGTACTTTGGTTATCTAGGGACTTTATTTTAGACGTCAGTTGGGCGCTCTCATTCGGTCATAATGCGAACGACCACCCACGAAAACGGGTCACGAAAAACGGCGAGCTGTCTCTACTGATTGATATCTATACTGTGGTTGTACATACAATAGAAGACTGACGTTCACATAACACGTGTGTAATAGAAGTTGCCTATATTAACGATTGGACACAGCATAGATAACAATCAGTAGGGACGGCTCGCCGTTTTTCGTGACCCGTTTTCGTTGGTGGTCGTTCGCTTTATGACCGAATGAGGGCGCCCAACTGACGTCTAAAATATTTGAAATTTGGCAGTTTTGTTACAATATTTTTGCCGGTTTTGCTTGTTTAAGACTGCTTTTCCAGTAGAATTGTACAAATAGTATAAAAATGTAATTTTCACAATAAAAGGTAAAATCTTCGTCCGATGAATTTTCATGCAGGATCCTTGTTGTGCGCCTGCCTTATTCTCTCCCTCGTGTTTGGAATTCTTGGAAAAGATAGTAAACATAACACACTTTTTGTTTAAAAAGTCGTCGCAAACGAACAACAACGGTGGTTATGAAATAAATATAAAAAATTTATTATATATGATTCCGTTGTTGTGGTAAAATTTAATATAAAAGTAATAAGAAACAAACTACACGTAACAAAAAATTATATAAGCAGACCTTCACTCAATAAACAATTTTTTTATTCATCATGTATATATATATTTTTTTTTTGACCTACACAATCTTGAGTTTTATTTTGAGACGTTGCTTAACCCATAAGCAGTCGCGCGTGGGTAAAAATGACCCAAGCCGTACATTTTGTCAAATATCTTTTTTCGCTTAATCCCTATGGACTTCCGGTTTCATGAATTCCTTTAAGGGGATGTTTGCTAAAAGAAAACTGTCGGATTTTTAATTTTGCCGTGTTATTGTCTTCACAAGAAGTTTGCGTGTAGAAAAATAAAGACGAGAAGTAGTGGTAAGCTGGTTGAACTCAGGAAAGCTGGGGTGTAATTTATGACACCCATAAACTCTGGTAACAGTTCGGCACCCGCTTTTCGTGTATTATTGTTCGATTTTCGTTCGTCAACAGTTCAATTTTCATATACGCATTTATAAAAATGACCACAAGAAATTAATAAGAAATAAAAATGTGAATGTGTACAAAAATGAACTTCGAAAAATTAAGACAACAAATAGTAAGTCCAAGCAATTATAATTTAATTGGAAAACTGATTGATTTACAACAAAAAACGCACTCAGCCCAAAAATTATTATAAATGCAGTTATTTTTCGGTCACAAAATAATCACTTTCGCAACACTTAAAAAAATTTGTGGCAAGTAAAACAAAATCAATTTTAAGTGTCCAAATGGTTCTACTGAGTGTGTCCCTATACTAAAATGCAACGAGAAAATCACCAATTTCTGCATCAGTACGTACCTATATGTCATGATGTAATGCAAATTATAAAATAAACTACAGACCAATAACTTGTTTCGTTTTTATTTATGCGTATTTATAAATATACCCAATTGTTTTACTTAAAACTAAGTACTTCAATTATTTGGTTTACATATTTCAATTATAACTGGTTCCCTAGCTGGTTGGTATCGGCTAAGTTCAAACTAAAGAGGTATAGAAACTACCTGTGTATACTGAATGGTTATCCGGCTAATTATAAGGTTTATGGTAATCTTTTATTCAACAAAATAAAATTCTTTCAGGTAATACACTTTGATCTTTGACAAAAAGCCGAGAAACAATAGGGTTGGTGATTATATAAAGTAACAATAATAAAATTTCTGTTTTGACTCGTTAAAGTCGAATGTTGATAGATTGAATTGAAACACCTTGTTAACAAATAACACTTTACTTCTCTTACTCTTACAGTACGAATTTGAACTCGTGTGGTCGGAATGTGGGTTCGTAATGGTCGTTTTAGGTACTTAGACCGACTGACAAAATGATGGGGGTGGAGCTTACGACCCTTCTACCTGGAAGGGTCTACTCATTGTTGTACGTAGATTGTACATACTGCCCCCTTAAGGTATATATGCCTTAATACTAGTATAACAATGACAAAACATTTGGGAATTACATGATGCATAAACACAAAGGCATCAAAGACTTAATAAAATATACAGTAGGAATAAATGTGTAACATATATACAAAGGGCATCAAGACTTAATACATATATATCGTAAACAATAGCAATAACTTTCACTTATATGCACTAAGCGAATCATCACTGCACATCACTAATGACAGGCCATATGATTATTTCACTGCGCGTCACTGATATTTTCTGTCGGAAGCAAGCACACAGATGAATAGAATTAGAATATAAGAGAAATGACGCGTATTGTTATATAAGGCGTAATTTGAATTAGAATAAATACTTAGGTACCGCACAACGCGAACCAAGGCACGCCCAAATTCGAGATTAGTGGAACGGGATTGAATAGGATAAGAATGAGAGCCACTAACCTGATAATGAAGACGTCGTCGATTCTTGATTCTGCTTCTGATTACGGCACCGATTTTGCAAGAGTTATAACCGCTGCAATCCGGCTCGAAGGACCATGTTTTGACTCGTTAAAGTCGAATGTTGATAGATTGAATTAAAAACGCCTTGTTAACAAATAACACTTTACTTCTCTTACGCTTACAGTACGAACTTGAACTTGTGATGTCGGAATGTGTAATCGTAATGGTCGTTTTAGGTACTTAGACCGACTGACAAAATGATGGGGGTGGAGCTTACGACCCTTCTACCTGGAAGGGTCTACTCATTGTTGTACGTAGATTGTACAATTTCTATTAGTAACATTGACTTACACTTTATGTAAGTGTATAAAAACAGCGGCGGGTCTAAAAAACAATAATATTTATATGTACAGAAATTAGGAAATAAAAGCATAATACTAGTAAAACTAATCAAATGATGATTAAACTGCATTTTTTGTCTGTCGTTTTAGTAGGTTTTTGACATAATAATTCTGATAAAAGTTTTTTGGACTTTTTCGTGGCTTTGAAAATGGAATCTTCGACTTTCGTCCCATTTCAAAATTTACTCTTTATATATTTCAATGGTCACAACGAGTTCACTAACTACACTGAAGTAAATTTATGCAAAGATTAAATTTGTCACCGAAAAGATGTCGGAAGTAATAAATTATCCCATCGGTCCAAGAACGTTCGGTGGGTGTTATGCCCCGATCCGAGAGAGACCGCAGTAAGAGACAGCAAATGGAACGAATAAAATACAGCTTCAAACATGATCAGTTTTAAATCAAAATTATGAAGTTTTACAAATCGGGCATTTTTTTTTCTTTTTGAAATATCATAGTAAACACTTCAAAGAATGTCCATGACTTACTTTAATGTGAATTTTATAACTATAGTCGGCACAATCGGACCTAATATTAGCGTGATTTTGAGCATATTTGCGATTTTATTAGAGCAAAACAGGTCATTTTTTCTCCAATTTTATAAGTTCCGGACACTAATAGCATATCAAAGATATTGTAAAAAAAAAATTGGGTTCAGATTCCAACTAGTTGTCTAGTATTTGTGAAACAAAATCTACTGTAAATTCACTGAAAACTAAACCGATAACATCACCTTAATTATTCTTACCTGCGTCGACCCATACCAATTACCTGCACTTTATGCGAGTCGACAAATATGTATTTTTTTTTGTAATATTTTTTTGAAATTTTAAATGAAGTGATACTTTTTAAATTGGGTGGCGACATCTAGGAATAGTTTAGGCAACGACCATCCATGACGGCTTAAAATTCGGGTCAGAAAGAACAAAGGCGCCGACACGAGCTGTCCCTACTGATTGTTATCTATGCTGTGGATTGGATTTCATCAAGATAAAATTTTTCTGTGAAGTTGAAGATATAGCGAATATTATGTTCCCTGGCCGCTATTACTACAGTTTTATTTGCATGTAAACTATTTAATTTTAATTGGAAACCTTAAATTTATTCAAAATACCAAAATGTAAATCAAATCACTTAAAAATTTGGGGATACAGGTTGATTCTTTCGAAAGTAATTTTAAATATATTGAACCTCTGTATAAATATTATAATGAATAATATTAACTGCATGTCTACAGTTCGTTGTTAATATTATTTGTATTATGTCTATAGTCTTCCGACTAAGTATATTCTATGATAATTTAATTAAAACCAGAATAAAATTTCAGATGTAAAAAAGTAGGTTATCTTATAAAAGTATCGTTTTAACCACGGCCATATATAACAGGTCTGCGAACTCCGAGTTTAAAATGGTCTTTTTTCGAAGAGATCCCAGAAGGCCACGGGAGCTTAAAGTTCCTAGCGCCGTCTACTGGATACTATGATGAAACTGTCCACAATAATGAATGAAATTTGCGTAAATATGTCCTTGAATGCAAGTTGTCATAAATGTCAGCTTTATAGGTTAGGTTTTGTGACATCTTTTTGAAAGATGAGGGGAAATATACGTCAAATGTCATGTCAAACGTCAGTCGATAGCGCAAATAGTACAAGTAACTACCACATGGTGGCGGTCATCTTAAGCTCCCACAACCTACTACGATACCAGTTTTTAAGCGCCCGTTTTATGAAAATTTATGAATGGAGTTGAAACACCTTACTTATACCACCGTGGTTTTAACGCTCGTTTTTGAATTCACCTTAACTTATTATTAGGGTATTTCTTCCCAACCAAATCAAGTAGGTAACTCAAAAATCACTACCTTTGTTAGGAACAAATTATAACATTATAACCTGCAGCAGCATCGAAATATTTAAAACCTTAATCATAGCATTGATTAAATAGTTATTTATTTATCAAGGAAGCCGCTACGCATCGGGCCTTAACCTGAATCCATTGAAAGAAATGGCACTTTGCTCAAGTAATATATATAATTTTTTCTACGAATGAATGTTTAAAATCAATTTTATAAAAGTTTAAATGAAAAAACGAAAAAACTATTACCGCGCAGTAAACTAATAAGTCATCTTCATAGTTTCTATGACAATTTTCAAATTAATCGTATTTGTACAAAGCGTCTCGTGAATTGTAGTTTTGTGTTCCTTAAAACGCATTAATTTTGGAAAAAATGAAGGATTTGGATGAGAGTAGTGGTTCAGAAAATAATTGTACCCCTCCAGACGTTTTAGAAGTAGCAAGTGATGCAACGCTAAATTTGTTGCCACCTAAGTCAAAAGAAAAATACCTTCAAGAATATTAGTTGTTTATGCAATGGTGTCATGAAAGAAATGTGAACAGGGTATCAGAGAATGTGGTACTCGCGTACTTTTTTTTTTGAAAATTTATAAACGTCATTAAGGACAAAAATGTACTTTACCTCCCGGCGGGAGTGACACTTTGTGCCCTTAAATTAGGGATGAAAATCACATTTTCTATATAGTGAGTAGAAAAAATAAATTAGTTCATACATAATTTATTTTTACACATATTCGTACAAGGATGTAAATAAATTTTAGCTAATATTCGGTAGTATTTAAGGTAGTCTTAATATTTTGTCAAAATGTCAGTCCCGATCTGTGCTTTTTGGGATAAATAGTAAAATCGTAAGGCGAAGACTGCATAAAAATGACAGGTGGAATATTAAACCAGCGGTATTTCAAATGAGATTTACTGAACAAAACATTGAAATGACCTCATCGATTTTTTTAGAATACATAAGTAGGCAAATTTTGGTTGACGTTTTACCATGATTTGATTTTTATTTATTGATTTAAATTATTCCTTCAACAAATTTCTTACAGGACAGATCACAAACAGCCACAAACTGAAAATCTACGTTTTTGTATTAACGCGCCACACAAATTTAAGGAAATTAAACTATTCTCAAAGTGGTCAATTGTAATACTAACTTTTTTTAGCTGTAACTGAACAAGTGAAAATAGATTGGCCTCATTTAAAAGTACCAAAAACGAGAATAACATGTAAAGTCCAACAAAAGACAAATGCAAATGACCCCAATTATGAGTATTGCCGTTGTAAAATCTCCAGTCGCTTTCGAAGCTGTACCCTGTGTAAGGCTGGCAATCAAAATTAGTCGCCACCCTTGTACCTTTCCAGGACTTGTTCTCTAGTAAATGCATTCCTAATGCGTAATGGTTTTATGGCAGGTTGCGGTCTAAAGTCGTAAATGCCATAAAATAATTGACGGCGTTTGCATTTATCTTTTGGTGCACTTTACAGCGCTCCAACGTAAGAAGAAGCCCTAGTGCGCAGGTAAACCCTGAATCCTGATTCCCTTAGATTCTCTTAGCTGAATTTATATTCCATTGGCTTAACATAGAATATTATCCCCTGTCGGAGCAACGCATTATGAGTACACCTGCGGAGCGGTTTGCGTGGGAGAATTATATTATAATTTTTATCCCGATATGTTCTCAGTCGTCATTAAAGGAGATTAAAATAAAATGAGTTTTAAGAAAATTGCGGATTTATTATAATAAATCCGCATTTGTGCATTTGAACAAAACTATTTACGAAAAAGTCTAATGTTCATACAATAATTTAGGTTAAAATAATAATAAATAAACAATGAAAAATTGTCTAAGCATGCTTCATAATCACTACTCAAGATGTATTCATCACTGCTTCCGCTTTTTACATTAATAATAATAATTTCTTCAAGGATGTTTCTATTATTTTTGGTTTTTCGCCATTTACTAAACACTAAATACTCGTTAATTAAAGCCAAAGATGATTTTTGTCGTGTCCAACTGAAATTTTTCTGGAGAGTATGTTGTAATGTACGTAGACTGATTCCGCACTTTGCGGTCTTAGGAAAATTGTAAATAATATTTTAGCTATCTATCTTTCCATATTATTCCAACTCGGACACAGTTTTGAACCGCTATGTATCCATCTAGTGCTTTTTCTTACGCTAGACAAGCTGTACTTTCAGTTTGTGAGAAAAAAGTCGGTAGAGTTATATCGGACAAAAAGTTGAAGGCAACAGGTCCAAGAACTCTAAATTGGTAATTGTTATCGTATATAATCTAGTAAGTGGTAATTTCCGGAAATTTTGACTTGAATTTTGAGTTCTTTTTAATGTGGAAATCGGCACGAGTCGTAGACGAGAAAAGAAAAAAAACGAAATGCCAAGATTGACATCGAACGCGGGACATCCGGTCTGCGTTCCTAACTCATATCCACTACACCACTACCGGGATATATTACGCTAATGGTAAACTGTTATTATAGTGCATTATGTTTTTGCGAAAATTTGAACGGTCAAAGCGGATTCGTATACCACATGAATAGGAGTATATTGTTGTATAAAGTTAAATCAAATAAACATAGAATTAATTCTTTGAAATCATCAGATTGTTGTTGGGGATGATTAGAAAAATTTTGGTTAGCGTTTAACTATCTACATGATATTTCTAATATACAGTTTCCGACAAAAAATTTCAAACATCACTTTTCTGTCATGTCAAAAATTTTAAGTAATAATGCTTTATTGTCATTATTTCGGACAGCTGGAATGTCAAACTTTCAAAATTCAAATTTGATGTGCATGTCAACATGACAGCTGTAACAGAAGCCAACAAATTCTACTTCTTTTAAAATTACCACAATGAATGTCCACTAATTCTGACTCACTGAGCTTACGCTACAGCACGGCCATGGCTACATCTATCTTCATGTAAGTGTCAAATGTAAAAGTTAAAAATGATAGTCAAATATTTTGGTTAGAAACATCTAAAGGTTGCTTTAGACTATCTGACGACTGAATGACATTGACGTCTGAAATTTTTTGGCGGCAACTGTACATACAAAATTTGACAACAATCGGTCCAGCAGTTTCGGAGATTGCGTATCTAATAAAAATGGATATAACAGGCACCAGACAGACAAACAAACAAACAGACGGAAACGAGAGATTACTTTTTTCGTACTGTAGGGGTCAAGAAACATCGAGAAAATATAAAAACTTTCGGTTGAATTGCAAATAGTGCAAATAACTGAAAAGAACATTAAAACGATGATATGTATTTTATTTAGTATTGTTTAGGGGAACCACAAAACGTTTATGTTAATCAGCAGTAATTTAATAACTAAATGTTTCTAGGTATATGTTTTAAACAACTTCCATTTATATTTTTCCCTTTAACTATAGAAATGGAACCTGAAGAACAGTCACTAGTAAACCCCGATGATCAATCATCATTTTTAATACAGGACAATCAAATGTCATTTCTCAATCCAGCACATCAAGTACCATTGTTATATCAAGAAGATGAAGTGCCTGTATTAAATTCTGATACTCAATTATCTTTACAAATAGAAGAAGTTCACACGAATCAAGAAACTGAAGCTCTTTTAGAAAATCCAGATAAACACGATCAAATTATAGAAGAACCGGAAGAAACACAGCAACCTTTGTATAAGTTAAATAACATAGACACTAAAGAGTTAATCAAAACTGATATTAAACAACTGATTTTAACAAAAATATCTGAAGAAATAAATTCTAAAGCTTTGAGTGATTTAAGGTATGAAGCTCAACAACAAGTATCCACTTTAAAAAATAGAACTAACAATTTGCAAAATAAAAATGACGATCTCGATGAACAGGTAAAATCTGATGAAAACCGACTAAACCAGTTGGAGACCGTATTGCTGAAAATGAATGAAATGATTGACTTACTGAAAGAAAAAATAGAAAAAAATAACACGAGATACCGTGAACTTCGCGTAAATGACATTTTAGAAAGAGGTTTACAACAACAAGAAAACTTACGACACTTGAAAAAGTCGTTTATAACAAAGTTAAAAAATGAACAAGAATGTCTTAAAGATACAAAAGTCTCAGATTATCAACGTAATGTTTTAAAAAACGAACTTGTTCAAAAACAGGAACGTCTACAAAGTTTAATTCAGCAAGAAGGTGTTTTAAACAGAGAAGTTACATCGCTTGAGGAACAAATTGAAAATAATTTAAAGAAAAAGCAGCAATTAAGCAATAAAGTAGCTGTTATTACGAATCAAAATACCCTCCTCGAGAACGAATTAGTGGAGAAAAAAAACCTGCTGTCGAATTTTTTTCCAAAAAAGGATGACCAAACAGCCAAGTTTATTTATAGTTTATTTTTTGTTAAGGTTATATTACAAATATCTTTTATTTTAGGTTCACTGAACTGAACGAACAGAAAGCGGCTATGGAACAGAAATTACTTGATGCTACACTGGACTCAGATAATGCCAAGGAAAATTTATTGTTTACAGAGAACCAGATTGCAGAAAAACAAAAAACATTGGCGATTCTGGCAAATTCTCATAAAACTATTCAAGATGAATTTTCGGAATCTTTAAAAAAATTGCAGTTAGAATATGATTGTGTTAGTACACAATTAAATGAAGTTACAACACAATTATCAACCAATAATACAGACAACAGTTTCCTTATAAATGTAAGTACATAACTTTGTCTGTTTTTTAAACTGTATCTATCTTTCTAGGATTTAACTAAACTCCACAACACTTATAATGACAAATGTGATGAAAAAGTAGTATTGATTCACAAAAATTTAGACCTTCAAAATTCAATTCATAACAGTAACTTAAATAAATTGAAACAGCAAATGCAGAATGATGTAGAACAAACTAAAATTGAGAAATCTAAAAAGCAATATGAAATTTCAGTCACAATACTAGATTCTTTGGAAAAGAACATTGCTAAAGAACAAGAAAACGTGAATAACGAATTGGAAAAAACTAGATTAAAGTTCGAGATATTGCAGTCGGAATATAACACATCTTTTCCAGAAATGGAAGAAAGGAAACAATATTTACTTGAAAATTCTAAATTTCTGGAAGAAAAAGTAGAAAATTTGCTTCAAGAAACTACTGAACTTGAGCAATGTATTAAACATTTAGAAGACGGAAATTGTTCTATAAAGTCAGCTGTTCGGCATAAATCAGACTTATTGGAAGAATATAACAATAAACTGCTTTTGTGTAGGAAGTTTCAAGAAAATGAACTACCATTGAAATCTGGTTTGAAATCACCTAACAGAGAAAATATTTCCAAGAAAGTAAAATTCAATGAAATACTTTCCTTCAAATCTCCCAGCGGTAGTGAACTTTCAAAAAATGAAAATTTAACACAATTGGTAAGTCACATTTGGTACTCTTTACGAAACTCAAAGTTGCACATGCGTCGTTCTTAAACAAAAGTTAGTTAAATTTCAAACGAATGCAATTTTATTTCCATAAAACTCCAACACAAACGTCATTTTGAAAAAGCATGATTAACGTGTGGTTGCAAAAATTCTAATAGTTGTGATTGTAAAATTAATTATGAATTCCTATTTTTAAAGAAATTATGGCAAGAAAAATAGCTACTAAAATATTAAAGTGGTATTTTTTTAACTTATTTGGATGTGCCATATTTAAAAAATCAATAACTAACAGTTTGACGTATTCTCAGAATAACTACACTTAGTTTGGGAAAGTATGTTTTTCTAAAGGGAGTATTTATTAATTAACTTCACAATTTCTCTAACGGTAATTCAAAACACAATAGAATGGTCTCACTTGAATAAAGAATACAGAATGATGTCAATCTCTTTGTGGAGAGGAACCTTAAATGTAGAGCTTAAACAGAACCCATTGTATGTACTGTTCCAAAACTAAAAAAAATGTTCTATAATAAATTATGTCACAGTTTATTGTTGCTTGGCATATTTTTACTTTTGAGATTCAATTCCCATTGCTTTTAAGAACGGTAGGGGAGCTTTACTGGTGGAAGACAAAAGTTTGGAGATATATAGCGAAGCGATCAATTTGTTAGAGACCAGTAAACCCCTTAACGTTCGTGATGGTTACACTATTTTGTGTACGACCGGGAAAATTCTATAGTTTTTTATCCAATTGAAAGAAATTCATCACACATTAAGGAACCCTGTTTTGAGCTTCCAAAATTTGTTACTATGGTTTCACCTAAGCATAATAAAAACATAAGTAGATTAATCTTGAATAAAGGAAATTTTATGAAAAGTAAGTTGTTACATGTTTTTAAATCAATGGGCTTTGTTGTCTATCTTAAGAATCCTCCAGGTCTTAATGGAAGGGTTTTGGAAGAAAAGTACCGAAAGAATATTACTTCTTCTAGTCATCCGGGTTACCTGTTATGAGTTGTCCTTCATGTACGTAACAGTCTGTATAAGGAGTACAAATTACAACTGTACCTCATTTACAAACAAAGGAACTGTATATTTGTGTACGACCATTGCATTTTTGATCACTTACCGGGTATGTCACCACGGAGTAAGTGTTATTTACTGAATGCTATGGCTAATACGTAAAGTTCACTGGACAGTCTAGTGAACGGTAACTAATCATTGAAAGTAAGTGGTAAGACTGTATGTCCAGACGACGATTGTGGGAGTTTGGAAATCTGGAATCCAATAATTCGGATAACGCGGGAGCTGCAAAAAGTAATAAACAAATTTTGGAAATAGTTACTGTAGATCCAACTTTTAGTGTTCGCCACATTAGTAGTGAAATTGGAACATCAACACTTACTATCTATAATGCTTTAAGGAAGGAATGTTTATATCTTTATCATTATTCTCGCGTTCCAGCATTATTACTGAAAGATCTTCCTCGAAGGGTTCAATTTTGCTAATGGTCAGTATAATAAACTTAATAAATGTTGACTATTGGGCTCATAATAATCCCGCATAACTAGACTAATTCACCCTCAGCGTAAGTTTTTCCTAAATCCTTTTTGATAAAATCCCTCTGCAACTTAGATAGAATATGTGGTTTATACAAAATGGGGCTCCACCCCATGCTCAACGCGATATTGTAGCCCATGAATCATGAATTTCCTAACCGATGGATTGGAAAAAATGGCCCCTAGTCCAGATCCTAATCTTTTAGATTTTTATTTTTGGGGACATGTTGAATCAATAGTTTATAAGACAGAAGTTACGGATGTAAATTATCTCTAGAACAGAATTCAAGGTGATTCTGGAAAACTACGAAACAATATAAAAACGTTTCAGTCAGTAAGGATGTCACAATAAGAAGGACCAGAGCGTGTTTGCAAAAAAAACGGGAGTACAAATTTAAAAAATCTGTTTATGTGCATATTACGACACTACTTCATACGTCAAAATTGACTTGCAGCAGTTTTTTTAATAAATAGGTCACTTGATTCCAAACATTTTTTTATTTTTAAGTCGTGTTTTAATAGTTGACTTCAAGCCTTCGGCTGATGAAGGAAAGATTTTTGAAAATTTAAAACTGGATATTACTTCTTTTAATCACTTAATAACAGGTTGTATTATAGTATCGCTATGGAATTTCAGGTACAATGCTTAAATAATTGATATTATGTATACACCATCGTTTTTCTCACCAGTTAAATAGAATGTGATTAAATTTGAAAATTCACCTTCATCATTCATGTTTTATATACAAGTTGATTCAGCTTAAATGTCCGACTGGCCTCTTTCTAATTTCAATAGTATCATGAACCTAAGATTGACTGCGTTGCTGTGTCATTGTCAGTTTGAGGTATTCCTTCATAAACGATATTAACCTACCAAAACATCCTACTCACAAAATTTTTAAACCAGTTGAATGGTGTTTGAGAGCAAAGTGGCCTGTAGAGTAGAAGTGTATTAACTGCGTACTCCCGATCAAACACCACTAGACTATTTTTTATTAGGATACGTAAATAAAGAGTACCCGCAACGTCATTTGAAAATGTGGTTGAGTTGCAAGAACGAATTGGACAAGTACGTCAGTCCATTGGCCCCGAAATGTTAGAACGCCTGAGATGTTTTTTCATAAACAGAACTGAAGCTTGTGAACAAAAAGAATGTGACACTGACGTATCTAAAAACAAAAGCAAACTTGGATTCGTTGAAAATTAAATTTTTAATCAAGAAGTAAGCGGATAATGTATGTAAGGATGAAAATAAGAAAGTTGGTCATTTAAACTGGATCACCCTGTATATGGGTTTCTTACTGCATTTTTTAACTGAGGCTGTCGTTATTATGCGATCATTTCATACAATATTTCTTCTGGTCATTTCTTTAGAAAGGTACGACATGAGAAAGTCATACGAAGGTATATTTTTGTCGTATTCAGCCCTCCAAACTTCCTTCACTGCTCTTCGATCATACCATTAACGACTGAATGAAGTGATCCATCTTGGCCAGATTTAAAATAAGTACCACTTTAATGTTTCGCAACACATTGGACAATTCGGTTGAACACCTATTCACCTGTTATCAACTACAAAAAAAGTTCTGTTCTGCGTTTGTATCACAAGTCTAAAAATTATGCTAAGTAATCATATAAACATCTTTTTTAGGAAACGTCGTTACGAGAATGGTTAGAAGATGAGAATGAAAATACTGAACAAGAATTCTAAATTACGCTGTAGGTGCTGTTGTTTTCTGCGTTGCTGATGTTCATTTTGATGTTAAACATAACCTTTTTTTCTATGGAATATTGCAGTGAGTTTGTTATAATTAGTCAATAAATGTTTCTTTTTCCACATTTATTTGTATTTAAAATGTATTGAAATGTCAAGTTCCAACAAAATTTGCCTTTTAATTAATTTAATTTTGATTTCAAGCTAAATTCCATACTTTCACAATACGAGTATATTATAATTACAATATTTATTAGTAGATTTTTAGTAATACATTTTATTATTGTCGTAAATTTGTTACTAATGCTTTCATTTTTTTAATTTTAATTTAACGTAAAACACAATAAATAACTTTTTACGCAAAAACTAACTTTTTAAAGCAACCATTCTTAATTCACCGTACTTCCTTCAAAACGGACTTGGTTAACAGTGACATTAAATTGCGGTCAAAATTTATTATTGATTAATATTATTATTGGAATGAACTAAACTCTCTTGAACGCTATAAACTGACAGCGCTAAGCATTTGAATCAGGTTGGCAATAGCAGCGCAAGAAAATTCTCTCAGAATTGGCTCATTTTATTGCCAACTCAAACAAGATTTATTGATCACGCTATATAACAGATACATCATTTAAAATTTCTATTAAGGAGTAGTAACTTTTCCTAAATCAGAAAGCTTTAATCTCGTTTTTGAAGGCATTTAATTCCAAAGTTCTAATTAAGATCCCAGTAATTAGCACTACAGCGACTTATTATTATTATTAGGACCCACAACTGACCTGGAAATGACCGGCATTCAGGTAAGACTTCTATCATCACCAAGTAATGATATGCATTGATTAGATTAATAAAAAACTTTTGAGATCCTAGAATCGCAGCATACAAATTCGTCTGCTCTAATCTCTCCCCATCCTCATTACTGTAACTACCGATCATTTATCGGCGCATCACTTGAAAAGTAACCTACACTACCCTGATCTACTGGTGTTCACCTGTTCTAAGTGACATGATCATACTGTTCGAGAAACTTACGAAAAAAATTGCATGTTCTTAACAAAACAGCTTTTTGCATTTTGACAATCATTTAAGTATAAATATTTCAAATTCTCAACTGAACTATATATTTGGTAGTTGCTACTACATTTACATTAGAGATGACTAAAGGTAGAATTGAAATTTTTTCAAGATTTAGCACTGCCTTCATTTCTATTGAAAGTTGTAGATATTTTGAAATTTTGGTGTGGTATGTTTGTACTATGTTATGTGTGTTAGGAACAGCAATGTCAATGAGAATGGCTTCATTGCTGATATCTGTGGTCCGTTAGCTGTAATGTTTCTGTGTGTAAGTATTGTGCGATCCCAATATAGCTTGTATTCCGAGTTTTCAAGGAATGGAGATGAAGTTTAAGTGCAATAGGGTGTAGTATTTTGAAGTAAGTTTAGATTTGTTGCTAAGTTTTTGTGAATGTTTCTGAGTGCATTGTCGTGTCTAGCTTTGTTATCATTTTGTGCCAGGATGCTTCAAAGTAATGAAGTTATGTGCTGAATCGTTTCGTGTTTTACTTTACAAAGTCGACAACAAGCGTTTTATAAACTTGATTTTTTGAGCCAAATCAATGACATTTTCTTTTTGATGTGAGCTTCGTTTAGCTCTTTGAAGAATTTTCCATGCAGTTGTTTTTGTTTCAGCCCACTTATTATGTTGTCTAATAATAAGTTTGCGCGAAATAGTTCGTTTCTTTCTGCGCGTCTCAAGAAATATTTCTTCAATTTTGAAACTTGTCTCTTGTATAAATTTTCTAAGTTCTAGAATCCCCTTCCTCCGTTCTGTCTTGGTAATGAAAATCTCTCAGTTGATGAGTTCGGATGATGTCTTCTACATTGTGTGAATGATTTTCTTGTTGACATGTTTAAATTTTCCAAATCAGTTTTTCTGATTGCTTGAGTCTTATATTTCTCAACACCGAAGCTCATATAGTCTATTTCAGAACTCCGTTCACCTAAGCCATAAATCGGGGCGATTATAAATCAACAATTATCACCTAGTAAGTAGGTTTTTACCGCGCTTATTTTATGAAAGGACAAACCATCCCCTTCTTTTCCCAGGTAAGCGTTGAATCCAACGGTGTCCTTGTCTTTTAGTACAGGGCAAACGAGTTGAAGCAAGAAAACCATAGTGCACTTTCAGCATGGTTGTAAATGTTTCGAAGCACTGCATTTACATCTACAATAACATTTTTTAAAGGTAATCTATTTCTTTATTATTTACAATTAATAAAACCAAACGAATCGTTTGCACTCTGGAATCTGTCAATGTTTGCGACAGTTTATGGCTTAGGCGAACGAAGTTCTGAAATACACTATACCAATATCATCGGAAAACTGTTCTGTTAGATTAATTATATTTGTCCAATGATTTTTGGTACTTGCATAATATTTTTTGATATAAAAATAGAAAGTAAATTAAGTCATCATCCATATATAGCAAGTGACTTAATCTATTTTCTGTTTTGGTGTTAATTCTAATATTGTCGGAAATAGGATTTACTGCCAAACAGAACCGTAGCGGACTAGGGAACCGCCTTGAAAGATTCCTCTTCTGATAATAATTATTGGATCTGATTAAATTGCTTGATCATTAAAGACTATTTTGAAGTTGCTTTTCCAAAATTCTACTGAATATTTGAGAAGAACACATGTTTTATTTTATTTAACATATTTAACTTTCATCCCCTATTTTCTCCTTAGGGGCGGACTTCCAAAGATCCTTTCTTAGTGGGTGCTTATAATACAAAAAGAACCTACCAAATTTCATGATTTTAGCTTCAGTAGTTTAGGCTCTACGTTGATCAATCAGTCAGTCTGTTAGTTACATTTTTTTCACAATTTTGATTTTTACTTCGCGAGCGTAAGCTAAGAAAGCATTGTAATCGAGCCCATCGGGCCACTGGTTGCTTTCATATTTTCTCGATGGGTTATGACCCCTAGAGTACGAAAAAATCTGTCCACCGTCCGTGACGGTTTTTGTTAGAGAGAGAATCTCCAAAACTGCTGGACCGACCAAACTTTGTCTAATCGTCTCTACAATAAATGTGATGACATCACCTCAAAAAATATATATATATATTTTGCAATTTAATTTTGAATCTTAAAAACCGAATGCTTTGGAATCTTGTAGATGTTTTAAAGTTATTAAGCATGGTAAATTTTTAATCAAAATATGTATATCTGTTTATCCCCACCAAAAAATGTATCCTTATGATTTATCATTCCATTCATATTTTTTAGATTTGCTTATACAGGCTGATTCAAAAAAGTAATGAATGAGTCAATTTATTTTAATGAATAAATCAGGAACTGGAAAACCGAATGCTTTGAAATCTTGCAGACGGTTTAAAGTTAGTGTAAGCATGGCAAATTGTTAATCAAAATATATCTGTTTATTCGGCCAAAAATTTTATGACATCACAAAATTTTGTAAAGTAAAAACTCATTTAAGACATAGCGTAGCACGCTTCCTTACATTTCCGTACATTACATACATATGTTTATTTCAACTTATAGGGGTTCTCATAACAAAAAATAAAATTCGTAACATGAAATTTTATAGTTTTTCAAAAATGCTGGATATGTTTCACTTCACTTTAGTTGCAAAGGAAGTTTTGTCCAAACAACTTTCGACCAAATTTTTTGTTTGCTTTCTTCATTGTAACTGTACATGACCTTTGCTGTATCAGTGATTCTCAATTCAAATTTAAATTTTGAACGTTAAACCGTTAATTTCTTACAAAAATAGTATATCGATTCTGAGTTTTATTACACGCATTGAATAAAATACATATTATATGGTACACGTGTGCTGTACACATAAGTCACTTGGGGAAACATACCCCATTTATGCTGACACACGTATGGGCTACACGTTTCTCGTTATTATACAGTATGATCCAACATTTTCTTTTCTTTTTATTTCTTTCCACTACATTAGCTCTATATTAGCTCTCTACTGTCATTTCCTATATGTGCTCATCGCAGCCTCCCTTTATCTGAAAAGTTTTTGATATTACGGCATTTGCAATAATATAAAACATTTGTACCATAATAGTTATTTATGTATTAAGGGCATAATCAGGGAGATTGTGGCACGAGGGAATGTTTAAAGCCTGACGAAGGAGGGCTTTTAATTTCCCGAGTGCCACAATCGACAATTATGCACGTGGTACATACAACGTTTTATTCTATTTTAGTTTCTAACCTATTTTTAACGAAATATTGAGTATTTTCGGCAAGACTGTGTGAATTGTGCCGATGCGAATTTTAATACATAGCTGGCTATTATTTTGATGTTGTTATGGATACCACGTTGATTATTTGATAATTCGTTTTTCAAAATGTAAATTAAAGAAGCGGAAAACCTTTATTCAAACGAAAGTTTAGAAGAATTTGAAGTCGGTCAGGTAATGATTTGATAAAATATTATTTTTCCAACTTAAGAAAAACTTTGAATATCGAAGCGTGTTTGAATAATTAATTGATTAGTGTAAATGAACAATCAATTGTTGCTTAGCAATTTTTGACAGATTTGTGCTAAAAAGACCAATTTAAGCCCGCATTTGGGTGCTTATATAGTAATTTACACAACTAGTTCGGGATAGCTTGCTTCCCGCATGAACGCTTGTTTGCGGCACGACCGAAGGGAGTGACGCATTTGCGTGAATGCGGGAAGCAGGCTCACGAACGTGTTGTGTACAATATTTTTTGCAACGAATAAATCTTTAAACTGAAGAGATTAACTGTGAGTTATTTATAAACAACGGCATTGACAGCGCCGTCAACACGTCACAATGTTGACACTACCCGAGTATTTTAAGGTTACCATGGCAACGGAAAGTTAAAATGCACGTGTGCGGGAAGTTCGAACTCCCGCACCCTGGTGAATGCACGAAAGCCATCAAAAAAGGTCATGAGTGCAAAAAATAAGATTATGGTTCTAAAATAGAATAAAATACTATTATATATGTTTAGTACTCAGGGTCCGAAAATACGAGTTTACGTTTTTGTTATAACATCTCTA